ATTTAATTACACTGCACGTAATAGCTGAATCTGTAGAACTGATGTAACCAAAATGAAAGCGATCTACGCTGTAGACATCAAGCGGCCCTACTAATAGTAAAAAGTGGTTACAGGCTTGCTTCGGGCAGAGATGTCTCATAGTTTAGTAAAGCAGACAAATTGTGCTTTTGCGCCGGAAGCCTTTTCAAGCACAGGTGGCTATAGTATGGAAAATCTTTGAAAGAGACAGAGAACAAGAATCGGTCCATATATGTGCGATAATACTGTGCGGGACGTATTTAAATTATGTAAATAAAGCCTATAAAGGCTCTCGACATTCTTAAAATAACCCCATAATAATTTTAGTTTCGGCTCGATTCTCACATGTGCCACGTGCGGGAACTTCGGCAACGACAAATTTCGTATTTGTGGCTCGTTGATCAATGTTGTCTCTATTTGACGGTGAAAACTGGTTTCAGCCTATAGCTTCATTGTATACCAGTGTCTACCTGTATTCATGCCGCCATATTGTGGACTGGGTAGAGTGAGAAAAAATATGTTATCCGAGTGGTTTATATTTACGTACAGCGTAATTATGTTTAGCTACGCATAATAATAACAGGTTTTCACCCTGACTGTACCGATGCCCAGAAGCATTTCTCGGTGTAATGACAATATCAAACGGATGAGACGAAATCTCTGTACAATGCAAAATGGTACCTGCGATTATTAAGCAACTGTTAAGAACCGACTTAACCTAAGAAAATGATGAAGTGTCTAATGATGGCGCCAGTCACGTACGGGTCATGTGTCGTTTTTCAGCGTACAATAGTTGGATAGAACGCTGGCCATTTATTCATACACGTAACGAGTTTCTAATTGTTGCATTGATTCTGGCTAAAATTAGATACTCGAAAACATCGATATACAAGTAAACCAAGAATACTCGGCAACTTCGTGAGACCGAGTTTATTACAAAAAGTGTTAAAGCTGCTGTTTCTAGTTTGCGAAAGAAAACGAGCATTGTGAACGAGGTCCAAAATCCGCAAGAATAGGATGTTTATTACCGACTCACTTAGCATATTAATTTTACATGTATCGAAGTTGATGAACTACGTCTCCAATAAATAACTAAATGGTATCATTCTCCTGAAAATTATAGTGATTTTTACTTGCATCATAATGAAAGACAAAACAGTTGGCTCTATTTCCATTTTTTCAACAGCTTCGTAAGCTCTATGGAGCCCTCGACTTTAGCTATGTCTGGGATCTTAACAGGATCTACGCACTGTTTGCTTTTGATTTCGACATCTTTAAGTCATGACAAGTTGACTAAAAACCGATTCAGAACAGATCAGAAAGTTTGGCCTCAATTTAAATTCCGATGTTTAAGATATGTAATTTTTATGATTGAAATTATGGCGTCCTTTGGTAGAGGATAAATCCTACAAACCTGCCATTTTGAGGTTTTCTGGGTCAATCGACATCACAACTTAGTAATGAATAAGTAGAGCGATATTAACATTTCCATTAAAAATTATAGCTCAGCCCTGTGTTTCAATCCGTGGCCTGTGGCCTTGCGGCATATACTGCCTTGATGAGATGATGGCAGACGGAATGGAACGGTGAGTACTAACCGCCTCCGTTATTGCGGATCATCTGACCGGTAAATCACAGCAAATTCTTTGTTTGCTAGAACAAACATTAACGCCAGCGAAGCCTTTTATGAAAGCGGGTAGACAAACTACAGTTTATTGAGAGAGATTATATATATATATATATATATATATATATATAGAGAGAGAGAGAGAGAGAGAGAGAGAGAGAGAGAGGAGAAATGTTTGTGACTGAGCATTCTATAACTTTTTTTAAATATATATAACGTTTGACATATTCCACTTGCAAGGATCGAAGAGCTATCCGAAATGCTCATCAATGAAGACGATCGTTAAGCTCGATGATTACAGTATAGTGTTTGTTCGAGACATTCAACTCAACAATAATGCCTCCGAGCTTTAATACCTCGGCTATATATAATATCTTTCGTAAAATAAGTACATCTTTTAGATCTAGATTTCAAGTGAGGTAACTGGGATGAATAACTTAATACAATGACACAGACCATATTTTTCTTGGGAGTTACGAGATATGGAGTCTTCGGCAAGATCGTGCGTAATCGCTATCAACAGCGGTTCATTTTAGTTATTAAATGACGATGCTTTTGCTGTATATTTTTACTCTATAAATCAAGCAGTCCTTTTGTACTGATCCGCGTCACATTCAAATAAAAAATTAGAATATGACTGATAGTATTTCCTTGGCACATTTCCACAATATCTTACACAGATATACAGAAACGAGCAAAAGTAGGTCTGAAAAAAGTAAACTTTCAGCTAAAGCGGAGGAGGAAAAAATCTTAACTGTTAATATTAGTAGGTATATATAATATTTTCTACTAGACGTCACGGCTTATCAGTCACGTAAATAATCCAAATGGCCATTTTTATTATTTCACTCCTATTTTCGCTGCAAAATAGCCTATTTCTAGTTCAAACACGAGTTTTGTATGTAAGCTTTGGGAGGTAAGGGAAGAAAAAAGGAAGGGTTATAGCTCCTTTTCGTGCGATCGGGGGGGATTCGAAACTAAGCGGCGGTGCTGGCTGACAAAAAGACAGAACGTGAGATTCTGTCAGGTGAAAAACAGACTACAGATGATACTTCGACAGATACCAGATGGCGGTCAAATTTTAACTGGTGATACCCGAATAATATTTTAAGCTTAAAGTTAAACCATTACAGCTTAGGACGAGCATGATTTGTGTTTGGCGGTATTTTAGCAATTTTGTAAACTGGTAAACATTTGAAGAAAACAAAACAGTGAACAAAGATATGTATGTGGCCTACTTGTCGAACGGGGCTATCCCACAGAAACAAGCCCTATGTATATATGTGTACATAGGTGTAGAAATGTATATATTTATTGTATTCTTTTTACGTTGCTGCCATAGATAGCTAGCTGTTGTCTAAGACAGAGGTCGTTATTGTGCCTGAAGGCTTTCAACATCTGTTCACAGGATTGAATGACTTCCTCGAAATCGTTAGGACACGTGCGTTATAGTTCCCACTGTCAACCTAGTAAGAGGATAATTACCTTATTTCTTCTTGTAATTATTAATGCGCGATTACTTCTAGCATTTTCTCCTTAACGATTCTGTACAGCGGTAATATAAAGTCGATGGAAAGCTTTTCGATCCCGACGCCCTATGGGCGGTCACGCTGACGGAGACAAAATCGCGTAAATGATTTTTTATATATTATCAATTAAACGAACGAGTATTATTACTTAGACAGTTTATCTTAACGATGAATCAGACCGGAATAGCAATAACTAATTCACTGTACAATTAGTTTACAGAAAAAGCTTAATCTCATGCAAGGTATTGATTAGGGGTAAATCTTCAATAATCGCCATTGATAAACCTCTGCTTGAAAGATCAAACTAAGTAAGCATCAACGGCTATATATTAGTAATGTTTTTAACTAATCGATCTACGCTCACCCAGACGATGATGCATCGTATGTGCTACAGTTTGTGGGACCTAAATGACATTTCGATTTCCTTGTACAAGCTCTGTGATTACTTCGCTGAAAAGAAAATGCTCCAATTTGATACAATAAAAATCCAATTTTCAAAGGCTCTGAGAAGTTCGCTTTCAAACATCCGTCGAATAGCATATCGGTCGGGCAACTTTATATTTCAAAGCCGTTGCGATGAGTTTTTGTCTACCCTTGGACTGCTCCTGCTTGTTTACAAATTGTAAACTGATTCCTTATTTTTTAAGGATGCTACTTGTATAAATATAGTGTTCTAGTAAAAATAGTTAAGGGTAATAATAATAGTCTATTAAAAAAAAATATCGAACGTTCGATGTAGAAGAAGCCGTACTACATACCTTTTCTTGGTGTCAAATCTATCTTACCGCATCTAATTGCACAGAGTAAAATTTATTGGTACAATCTTCAACTTCGATGCAGACATAGTCACTTTCGCTTTTCGCTGACATCTGTCACGCTGAAAGTTTGGTGACAAAATACTACAAAATTATGCCTCCAGGGCTGTATTTAATGGGTTCGTTCAGTTACATGGACGTTACCCTTAGTCCTGACATAACGTTCTAGCTCTAAGCAGCTACCTATTTTAATCATAAGATAGCCACTAATAATCCGTAAATCCGTAAAAATCCGTAATAAATTTCTATTCACACTAAATATTTAGGCAAACACGCGACAGTAGAAATTCAAAGGCAAGCCTTTGAACTGGAACAGCATATACAGTTAGCCTGCACGGAAAAATTTGAAAAACGTTGATTGCTTTTAAACTTACCAATGTATCGTTGCAGAAACTGCCGGTTTCCAGTAATATATTCATCGCTCTTAGTGAGGATTTTATTAGACAAACTGTCTTTTCACCAACAAGACAAAGTATTTCTAAAATAACTGGCACGAAATAGTGTATTGCTCATATTCCACGTGGTTTTCCCCCTATCCCGGCTGTACATGGCACTAAGAAATGTTAAGCCACTACAAGATGATGAGGGCATCGGGCCCTCTATTCTACACAAACGTGCAAGGACCTTGGGGTCTAATCGATATTCTTGCCTTTTGCAGGGTCTTTTTGATGGTAACCTCCACGAGGCTTTTAGCATAACTAAAAAAGTATGCTTCCTCCCTTAAAAAAGCTTTCCCTTAGATACGATAAAACAAGCTTACTCATATTTTACGTAACTTCAATTTCCCTTATTGCTTTCTTATTTGATAAGTTAGCTGGGAAACCTTTCGGGATATGGTAGATCAGTTCTGCGCAAGGTGTTTCCGATAACGACACTGCGTGTTAATGACTGCTCGCGCTGCTTCAGACAGCCTACTTAGATAAAAACAACCACGAATGTATGAGAATGTGGCGTTGCCGAGACAACGCCATGTTATACTCCGTGAAAGACAGCCGTGGCTCCGAAGCCTGTGTTATGCAACATAACTAGTCGTAATTTAGATACTATGAGAACGAGTGAATACTGCGTTCGTTTAAAGAAAAATTGCTGAACTAAAATACTGATATGAATAGTAGTGAATGAATAAAATATGAATAGTTAAAATATATAAGGACAATATGGATCATTTACGCAATCCTGTACAGCGCACACCTAATTAGGGCTATTTACTTCATCAGCGACAGTCACATAAGGAACTTCGTTCACCCCAAATCGTGCTACACTTTTCCGACGGTAGGATGGTTTCTCATAGTGATGAAGCACCAAATTAGAACAGAAAGGGCAGTGAAGCCCATTTCTGTTCTAGTTTGGGTGATTAAAAGAACTATTGATTGTACTACATTATCGACAAGAGGACGACGTCAAAACGTTTATATGGTAATTGTATATGAATAGATATATAAATGGAAATTGGACATTGAAAATTGAGCAGGGAAACCACCCATATCTATTTACCACGACTTTACCCGTATATATCGTTGCACCGAGTCAGTTACAGTAGACTTTTTGTGAATTGTCGGATTTGGAACCGCACTACCAAGGTTGAATTGTACAACGTCAGCTCTCATTGTGATATTATACGATGCATTTATTATAAAATTATCTATTGCAACTATTTAAGTGAGCCGGACATCAGAGGTTTAACTTTACGAAGCCAGTAGCTAGTGATTCAGATACTGCACATGGATAGATGAGACAAGCTCTGCCCACTTTTTTTTTCGAAGCAAATTGTTATCCAAGACTTAGGACTTTCCGCATTTTAACATTCTAAAATAGCATCCAGAAAGCCTACAGTGGTGCGTAACAGTGTGAAATGAATTAACTTTCGTTGTAAGTTCTGAAAAAGTGAGTATGTTTTTACTCGACTTCTGACGGTGCGAAATTCAGTCAACTTTACGATAGAAAGTAAAACTAGCTGAAACGGCTGACAAAGTTGTTCGATGGGTCTGTTATTTGATTGTTAAAGTCAGGTCTAGCCTCTGAGAAAAAGACGATTATGTCTTATAGTTTGAAACGTTGAGTTCATCATAGCACAGGGCGAGCCAAATGTGCAACATGTAGGGCGACTATAGTGGTGATTGTGATGCACAGAAGTAGAGTACGGGCTAAAAGGCTTGCCCGAAGTGCCCGGCCATGAATGTCTTAACTTACTCGAACGTCATACTTCACGTTACAAAAATATGAACTAGATGAGTCAGACTGTGCACACTGCCGTAAACTACACGAACTAGATGCCATTCAGCTAACATTGATTTAAATACACGCAAAGCACGATGTAATACCGAACCATAAGTAAACAAGAAAAAAAAACTATTTGTTGCGAATAGAAAAAAATGCATTCGGGTAAATTTGGAAAACCAGCCCTATAATTTCAACTGCGTCCTACTCCGAGATATTATGAAGTTCCCAGTGGGCATACTAAAACTATTCACCCATTATCCTGTGCACCAATCCGAACCTGTCTTATCTCAGCCTTTTTATTTTATATATAATTGCACTAAATGTGAGCAAACTTTAGATAGCATTCAGTAATACGACAATCTACAGGCAGATGTCAACGTTTGTTCGTGACCTGGGTTCTAACACTTTCTCAATAAACTGGATAATTTAATTACTCGTTTAGTTAAAACTTGGATATTTTACATTCTCGAGCTTTTTGTTAGAAGGAGATGGTTTACTATTATATTAATTGATAGTTGTCCTAATACCCCTACCTATTAAAAACGGTTTGTGAAGATGCTTGAAGCATGCTTCAACATAAATCGTCGAACAGCTCCTCGCTACAATTAGTAAAAGCGAAAAGTAGAAGCAAAAATAAGCATATCTTATAAATATACTGTATTATAACAAAAGAAGACGGCAACACCGAGCAGGGCAGACACCTCATGATTTTATGCACACGCTGGTTTTTCTTGGAAAAGGATTACGACAAGCCTTCTACGTCGTGTTGCAGGTTAGACGAAAACACTGGAGGCTGTTTCCATAGAGCAATATGTGTGTACAGTTCACAGTCAAGAGGCCGCAAATCACATCACCTAGAAATACAGACCCTCCACAAAACAAAAAATAGATATTGTTCCCTAGAAAAAAAACTTTTCGATAACGGAAACACCTGTATGCCCTTGAAACTCGTCATGCACCTAGGTTGGGCACTGTAAAGACGTCACACCTATACAATCTAATCAAAATAGGATAACTACAGGTTAAATGAACTTTTACTGCATCGAAAGATACTGTACTCAACATTTACTTTTTTAAAGAATTTTTTTAAAACTTTTAACAATATTATAACTAAGCTAGCACGTCCATTGGATTTGATTTTATATTTAGACTGGGTGTATAAAAGGTGTTATATTTACAAGGTGTCCTTGAATTAAATTAGCGTTTACAGATTAAGTTGTAGAAAAATGCCCTTATGTCGCCATGTGTATTTTGCGATGCGATGCTCATCTACGAATAGAGGAACCTTCTAGTCATTCTAAGTGCATCCACCTCTACTTTAGGAGAATTATCGATGTTCAATTAAAGCTACGGACAGAAATTGCGCCAGCGTAAAAATGAGGTGGGCGTCCCACTGTTTAGCGTGATGGTGCCCCGCAGATCTGAAAGCGTAGCTTGAGGCCGGCTGCATTAGAAAAAGCGTCGATAGTAATAAAGACGTGAAAATTGTATTCGCAGACCCGATTGTCTCTAAGTGGTAAGCTGATCCGAACCGACCGCTCAACCAATAGCACTACAAGCTAATTGGGTTGACTTGTCAAGTAAAAAGCGCTCTGGCGAATATCTAACGCAGCATATATACAAAGAAGTTTCTGCTTGATGGCCGCACATGGTCTACACCACCTTAACATAGCGTATCATAAAGACACGAAGTTCAACGCCATGGCGAGAGGGCATTGAGCAGCTCTATGTTAACCTCATAAGCTACTCGCTAGACATGCACGTATGTATTATACTGATATCGTATGTGAGGTACCATTGTCAATACGCACCAATGTAGCCAAGTGAACGTCTAAAATACTAGAAATGGTACAATAAAGCCTTGGGATTGGTAGCACCTGTGTGTATGCTGCAGAAATTCTCGACCTCACTCGATGATTCAAAAGGTAAAACTTGCACGCAAGCCTTCAAATAATACCTAATTTTGTTGAAACGTAGCAATCTTCTCCCTTATCGTAAAATAAACCGTAGGATCCGTACTTATATGATCCGTTCTTTTACAATTGCTATGTTCACTAGATTGCCAGGTTTCAGAAAGATGTTCCCAGCCGAACTCTGCAGATTACTTAGGCCGCTGATAGCCTAGGAAACTAAATTGCCTGAACAAAGGTGAATGTTTGCGTCGCGATGGCGAAACAGTGCTAAATTTCACGAAGTCGTATGCCGACAGCTGAGTTCATCTTGAGGGACTTGCGGGATACGTCTGAGCACAACAAAAATACGCTTCCTTTGATGATTATATTGGGCATAATTAGGCTAGCTAATCCAATATCTAAGAGTTATTATTGTTACTGTTATTTAAAACGTACATTTCAATCTGGCCTTACCATCATTAGACGTGAGACGAGAAGCGTATTGTATTTTATGACCCCTACACGTGACACAACTAAAACAATGAAAATACGTGCATTAATATATGAACGCCGTTATAGATTGTCTCATTTGCCTTTAACAGATGATGCCATGATAATGTTACTGGAAAATATCCAAGACATATGGAAATCCCCAAAAAATCATTTAAAAAAAAATGAGAATCTACTAATTCCTAGCAACGTTTTCTGCAATGTCGCAAGCAAGTTGGACAGAACTTGATGATCAACTGTTAGCACCTGCAGTGAACGAACACGTCCAGTCACATCTATACCAAGTCACATGGCCTTATATGTTACTGTCAGCGTTAACAAGGTCGACGATTGCAAATCAGATGCACGCCGCTACACTCCTTAGCCTCATGCATAGGCTCGTTCCGTGCAACAAGGAACTGAATAGATATACAAAGCCGAAACTATTCACACGATCACTGTTTGTCTGTGACCTATTAGTAAACACGCAGTACGTAGGAATATCTAAAAGTTATTTTATTCTACGCGCTGCGTCTTCATTTATACAACCCGTCTTATTAATTAATACAACATGATGAGCACGTCAGCCTTAGATACATGTCTCAACTATATCTTGTCAAGTGTGACTTCGTATGGCCACTCTCGATCGATCTTAAAACCGGGGCCGTATTTCTTGCGGGCGCGTAAACCTGACATGGTGGTACTCGAACCAGGATACGCAGGAATACCCTTAAACAAACCTCCCGGTCCAAGCGATTCTGGTCCGACCGAGCCTGGCTTGAAACGAATGCCATCAGGGATCACACACAGATTACTTGGCAATTCGCCAGGTTTGGCATGAATTAGCAGATCGTACGGGTTCAGTGCGTCGACAGGCGTCCGGAAGAACTTAGCGACATCACCAACACTGCGAATGTCCCTGAGTTCAGGATTGGGGACTGAGTGAGAGAATGCCCGCGTGCACTCGGCTAGCAGTGCCATCTTCTCTTTGCCAGACACCGGCACCTGAAATATGCGTTGTTCGAAAAAGGCGAATAATTTCTGAAGTGCTCTGACATGTTTCGGTAGGTAAAGGGATTAGTCATAAGGGGGTCAAATCTAGGATACGATTTGGGACGCCACACTGGAGGTAGTTTCTCCAGAAAATGAAACATACGACGTTAGTGTTTGTGCGGCGAGTATTAGGGCTCATCTATGTACCAGATCGTAAAATATAATCGATCTAGGTGAAAAGCGGCGCGCCATAGTACCTTCGACCAGTCTTGATTTACAGCAGATGGAAGAAGACGACCGACGACTTCGCGCAGACGATTTTCGATATCAGCCGGCGGATCGTAAGCTTTTCGGGTTCGACAGAACCTATAAATATTACAGGGAAATTAAAATAATTGACTCTTATAATGACTCCCTCCGGTAAGATAGGTATTCCTCGAGAATTTTACGTCAGGCAAATAGATCGTATTCTGATATGTCCGACATTTTTATTAGCTGATAACATTGACCAACAGTATGCTGTGATCAGATATTCGTATAATTTGTTATCTAGATAATATATGATTGCGCCTTTCCATACCAATCCCTCAGTTCGGAATTTAACCTGAATAAATCTGATTACGGCATATATTATCGGATAACAATTTCTACGAATATGGAAATACACGTGAACCGCTTTGATTTGTAAACGAAGATGCAGCTCCCAGATTATTTCTGGTCGCCATAATCTGTCAATTACTATATCTTTATATTAGTTTTAGCTAAGCCACCGAACAAAATTGACTTAGGAAATACTTCATATCCTACCCAAGTAAAATGTTTTCGAGAAAAATGACCATACCCCCTAGCAGCTAACGCGTCGAGGGATCCCTGGGCGAATGTACTGTCGGGGATTCGGTCGCCATCGTAATATACTTTTTTTTTGACAAGCTTTACATAACTCACTCCCGTTCGCGTCGAAACCTGCGCCAAACATTTAATGTAACGAGCACTGAACTTGAGAACAAAGCAAGAGTACCGACATCAGTAGTAATAGCGAAAATGATTGTCATTAGCACCCAAAGTGTTTTGTCTATGTGGCACGACAAAACGTTTAGTTTAATAGCGCCTTAAAGCGTACAGTACAGATTGCAGCTGAATGTATTGCTCAAAATTGGGTCCATTTGTTGTAGCGGTAAACCTGTAACGTAATGTAGATTTCGAATAGACAATCAGAAAATTCAAGGCAAGACACTGAAGTAAGAGTACTGTATTGAAGTCGAGTTCATTTTTAGCATAATAGGCCGCCAGTACACAACTGAATGCGTCGGGGTGTGCGTGTTTAGTTGAAGACTAAGACATTGTTTATTCGACAGCTTTCTTCTAAGCTTCATGCCTATGTAACAACGTTGTTACTTGATCGTGTTTCGTCGGAACTTAGTTTGAGTATGATCCGGCGGTATAGCTTATCCACAATCTCGCAGTATTAAGGATTTCGATACAGGTCGTTATTATTTCTCCGCAGAAAATGACCGCACTAATAGAAATACTCAATTGAGATTGGAATGACGTCCGAGCAAAAATGAGCTTACACATCAGGCTTAGCTGTGGCATCATCTAGCTTTCTAGTTCTACCCACTTCGAGCTTACCTGACCCAAAAAAGCTACATTAGTCCTAAAATTGGTCCATCTCACAACCCGGGCAATGCCTGCGCAGACCATCTTCCACCTGATTATGGAGGCGGCCATATTCGCATGAACGAATTGTTGTAACTGTGTAAACGGTACCATGTGACGGTACTGTAGTTATCATCATTGCTGGTAGTTAGATGGATGGTTGTGACGAGATTATAGACATTCCTAGTGGATGAGTCCATTTAACTTCAATGAAAATTAGACTATCTTCAATCGTGATGGTACAAGTAGTGCTTCGTTTCTACTTTCGGCTGGGTAACCGGACAAGGACAGAAACTGTTTAAAATTATCAGAAAATCAAAAACAATTGTAAACAAAGCCATTTGGCCAGCAAGGCCGCTCCGGGGGCTTCTCGTGCCTATCATCAAAAAAAAAAAAAAAAAAACCTATTGATTATCAAGGCATTATCACTGTGCAGCGTCTGTTTTATCTCTTATGCTGGCATTGCACAGTCGTATTTGGTGGTAGGAAAACGTAATTGATTCATCGACAGTTCTCCGTTTCAATGTTAAAACGTCCATCAGTTCGCTTAAACCGGCGTTTCAACAACAGATTTTGAATACAATTGGTAACACTCGGTTCTAACCGTATCTCCTTAATTGTTATTTTGTTGTTATTCAGTATTTATTTTAGATCTTTCAGATATTTCGAATCAGTTAAACGGCGACGTAATACTGTTGTATAGCCGTTATCCGTACGTTGTTATGAGAAATTCTTGGATCAACTAACGAAATTCTCTACCCGACTCCAGCAAATCCGCTACAGTAGGAATGATTTAATATCACTCACTACCCTTAACCATCTAAAGCCCGCGAAGTGTGAACGGATCCAGCCATGACAGCGGCAGGCAAGATCATCTAATTTGAAAACTTCCTTTACGCTCAGCCTTTTCTTCTCCATATCAACTTCACTGCCGCATCGATAGCATTATATTCATAGCCGGCGACTGCAATTGTACTCGTAGAGTAAGTAATGAAAAGAGCAATATAAATAGTAGCAGAAGACAGTACTCTTAACACTGAACAGCTCAATAGGTAACGACGAATCGGAGCTCAATTGACCCAGCTGCTATAGCGGTAGCGCATATTGTTTTCGTTGGCGCGGGTCGCCGAGCCTCTGCCCCCTCTGGTTAATTAATTGCCCACTACCATTGTCGTTCAGTCCTATTCAGCAGCGTACCATACTACCGAGGCTTTTTACGAAACAACGCTGAGGGTGGGCAATCATAGCCGCAACAGTTGTCTTCTATCCCCAGACATAACAGTAAACGCAAAGCGTAGTCGGGATTCAAGTCAGCAGTAATCAGTCGATGGGGCAGTGCTAACAGCGCCTCTGCCAAAACCCCACAAAACCAACGACATCAGTGGAACAGCAACAGGTTTTGTACGTTTTACCAAAATCTGTGCTGTTGTGATAGGCTCCAAGGGCGCCCGGCAGCGGCAGCAGTAACAGCAGCACCCGAACTTTGGGTGAACGGCAACGAAAGAATCGTTCGGCAACAACGTGGAGAATAACTATGGGTCGGTTGCTGCTCAATGTCGCTACCGCAACTGCATGCGCTGCTCGATCAATTTTTAGGGTACAAATAGACAAAACAGCCGAAGCAGCAGCTTTGGCGGGTCGCGCTGCGGCGGCGATAGAGGAGAGAACATACGACAGCAAACAAGTAGCGTTGAGCGCACTCTGCTCTACACACACTTGTAATCACAGAATGGAGTACGAGTAGCAGCCAGTCGACGTGCAGAAACAACAAAGAAGGCAAAAACTGCTGATCCGCCGTTCTTCTGGTCACCTAGAAAGAGAAAACGATGTTGCCAGGGCATCGGCTCTTCGCAACCGTCGCTGACGTACTGTTGCCGCTATCAGTCGTTAACCGCTGGCACTTCTGCTTTGCAGAATGCGCGCCGCCAGTTCAGAATCGGCCCCCAGGCGGCCGCTCCAGCGCTGGCAGCAGCAGCAGACCAGAACGGGAAAGAGTGACCTGCTGTTCTTCTAGCGCGCTAGAGCAGCAGCGCTAGAGCAGCAGCGCCAGCTACGACGATGCTGACCCCTTGCGGCAAGCAACAGGCGGCCGGCGGCGGCCTGGCGATGGTCGCTGATCAGCAGGACACAGGCAGAGTCGGGCAGAGCGCCGGCAGCGCTAGCGAGCGACAGAGCCAAACTGCTGGAGCCGTCTGCGTTTTATCTGTGCTGTTGGCAACCGCCGTTCCGGCGTTCGTTGTCGTTTTCTCGCCGCATCGGCGTTGCCTGACGTCGCCGTCGCTGCCACGAAAAGTGTCTTCTGCTAGCTTTGCCGTGTAGATCATACCCGTCGCAGTGGTGGTGGCTGGCTGGCTGGCTGGCGTTACTGCTATTGGGACTGACTGACTGACGACCAGAGAGAGGATCTGCGGCCGCACTTTTGTTGTTTTTGCGATATCAACGGTCGGCGGAAGAAACGGGGGCTGCGGCTGCACGAATAACAGCAGCAGTAGTTCATATCGGTAGCACAGTTCGTCGCAGGCAGGTCTGCTTCGGCAGGCGTCACACGGTGCCGGCCAGACCCAGCAGCGGCTGTTCGGCCCGCCATCCGTAGGTTTCGGCCAGTCGTCCGCCTCTTCGCCTGCTCGGACTGTTGTTTTCTGTGCTGCAGACGTATAGAGCATTGTCGTCAGAGAGCGCTTGGACGCTCGTTTGTATGAATCGTAGTAGTTATAGTGCCAGTAGTAGTGGTATGATGTGGTGCTTTTCTTGAGGAGTGCGTTATCTTGGCCGTCGCAATTTGTACGCTGCGATGCGCCAGTGACGAGGCCGAACGAGACAGGTTGGAATTGGAGGCCGACGATGAACATTCGGGGAACTTCTTTGGTAAAAAAAAGCGCTCAACTGTTCGGCTACTGCGGGGCTAGAAGTAGGCTGCCTCTGGAAGGGCTGTGAAAGAGATAAAAAATAGTGGAGCTCATGGATCAGACTGTGTTAGGACGGACCACTCACCGTTTGTACGGGTGCGTGTGTCTGTGAGCCTTCATAGGGAAAACCTTCGATCATATAAGTGTTGCGTTACTGTTCGATTGATAGCGTTTACATAGGCTTGTACCGAAGAAAGGAACTGACGTGGGAGCCAGTAGTTCAAAGCGGCGGTGTCGATCGAATGTGTCGTGTAATCAATAGTATTCGATATTAACGTGCTTTCTGAAAGCTCTATGTGCAAAAAAGGGAAAGTCTGGATTAGTTTGATGAACTTTTGAGTTCTACTTGATGTGTCGGCTTCCATGGCCATTTGTCCAGCGGACGAACTTCAATCAAGATGCACAGTGCTGATCCTCTCTCAACAACGGAAAACGTCATTGTGTACGAAATTATGTTGTAGCCAGAACGCTCAAACTGACTCTCAAATGACGGGCGAAACATTGAGTAGTATCTAGCAGTACGAGATTCCCCGACAACTTCCAACACAGAAGTACGAACGCAAGTTTCAGCAGACATCGACGAAGTTGCAGTACATTAACGATAAGAAATATTCGCGATTTTAGCTTCGAGGAAGCGTTCCGAAGTAGAAGAACAAATAAAAGCCAACCAACCATAACGAATGCTACGTAGCCAATTTGTCCGCCAGATTCGCACAATATCGTTAAAAGTGCTCCGTTTAATGTTTCGGGTAGTGTCACCCTTTACTGGTGTTCACTTGAGCCTCACCAGCAAACGGATATTGAACGCGGCCAACCCACCAACGGATCTACAAAACCTGAGACCCAGCTTCCACGATCAAAATCCCGACTAGAGATAACACTTAAAAACAGTTATAGCCGATTAGCTATCCAAACAAACAGCCTCCGCATAGTATTTTGTAAATTCAGTGAAAAAAGTGACTGTGTGCGTTTCAATTAAGCGGAATCAATGGTTCCCTATGGTGATTCCCTACTGCAAATGTAACCACGATTAGTAAGGTAGGTTTCATAGATGCTATTAACAACGATCCCGCAGTTCATAATTGTAGTCTGTGGCTAAATGACCACGGATATGACTATGCCAATTTCGCTATGACGATTCCGAACGGTCGGTTGTTATCGTTGTCGCAGTCTAGGCTCGCCGACAACGGGAGATTCAAATAACTCTATATATGGGAATAATCAGAAGGCAGTAAGCGGAGACGTACACAAACAAACCCAACAAAGGCTGGCGACAGTATCAATAAAACCCTGTCAAGATTTTGGCGATGCCGCTAAGCCAACGAGGCGTGCATGGTGACAAAAGGGTCCATATGTAACGAGGTGGCAACAACCATCAAAGGCCAGTAGTGGGGCCAAGCCAACCGACCGCCGTTTGACAAATAAGCCTGATCTGGATGGTATTTATTGATAGCTGACGGCCTCGCAACGGATTCCTGGAGCACCGTGTGGAACGGTACCGTTCCAGTTGTCGCGGACGTCGCCGACATTGGCCTACCTGCTGCTGCCGTGGTCGCGAAAGGAAGCATTAATACCTAACGATATAGTCATGGAGACGAACAAACACAACAAGACTCGTTTGTGTGTACGGGACACATTTCTCTTGTGCGTTATCTTTTGTGGTAACAACATTGGATAATGCCAAATGTTGCTTTCACTTGTAGAGCGACATTCATACACCGATCATACACGGAGGTAGAGTGAGGTACTACACGGAAACGGCAGGTAGAAACATGTACTAAGTATTGGTCATAGTTCATTAGTCATGGTTTTATGGCCTTAGAATAATGGGCAAAGTGTCAGAAGTGGCAATTGATGTACTGTGGCAGCGTTCATTGGTAATGGTTATTGGCAACTGGAAATTTTGTGGAGTTGATTTTACCAATAATAACAATAATAGTAATGTCCACTCCTGATACATTACAGATAGTGTGATTGCAGGTAAGATAGTAATTTGGATTTGAACTGGTGAGGGATTCAAGGCTTCGATCATTTGGATGACCTGGCAGAAGTACCAAAACCTGTGCCACAAGTGAAGACACGTAGTCGAATTTACCGTTTTCGAAGTTATTGTCCTGGTTGCATTCAACAGGTGGATTATGTCTAGGAATGGATGCCCAATGTTTGGTTTATTCCGGAGTCGTAGCAGTATACGTGTGAATTTTCGCGGAGAGGGAATAAGTTGCCTGAGGTCTATTTTGAATATTCTGCAAGCACATCAGAAAAATTCTGTGTTTGTATGTAATTGGCATAATGTGTTTCGATTCATTTTAAATGTTGAAATGGCTGCAGTTATCAGTACCGCCGAATCTGCTGTATTTTCCGTAGCGATGGGAACCCTGATGGGCTTTTCCCAGGCGTCGTCTACGTTTTCTGGACTGTGTCGCTACTCAATGGACACTTACAGTGTGCGCTGCCCAAGCGATCTCTGCAGAGTGTGTCGTCGTTAGAATGCGCACTAAATGTGCCGCCGCCGATTGCAAAAGTAGTATCGCGCCTCGAAGTTGCAGAGCTTAATGATTTGTCGATCCATGTGCATCTGTAGCGACCAGGCACGCAGGACAGCATCTGGCCACTAACCACAAGTGGGCTGAGGGTTCGTTAGAACCTAATCTGTAATAGGCCTGTCGGACCTGACTTGGACGGCATTTATAGCTCGTCAGTGGGCAGTTGATCCCTTTTGATCACAATGTTTGTTGCGTGCCGTATCGATTATTAGCCTGGCTCGCGGTTAAACCTCGGAAGTCGGGGTCAAAAGAAAAAGGGCGGAATAACTTAAGAAATCGATTTTTTCCAACAAACGACATAGAATATTCGTGATGTTTGCTATTGGTTCAGCTATCATCGCACGTCATATCCCGTACGCAGCCCCATTACGATGCACAAGAAAACAAAAAAATATATTTCAAAGAAGGTAATAACTCAAAACAGTTTAATTATAGTCTATCGAGTACTTTTTTTATTTTTTTTCGATCTTTCGACCATTCGTAGCGCAACAATGGCTATTTCTGTTCAATTTGCCAACGGAACGGCTGTCACTTTGACAATAGCTTATAAATGCTGTCTAGATGATTATACAAGAATATGTGACGCCTGTAAGGTCTTCTATAGATTGTACAGGTTAAATTATAATCCGTCTTGAACGACAGGCGTGAGCTGCCCGTATACGCAACAACTGTATAGTGTTTCTGGTTGTTTCAATTTTCTGAAAATAGATAAATCGCTATGATTTCGGCACCAGATATTGGAAATTAGATATGCATTGCTACGATAGTAAGAATCGCAAACGAGGGAAAAGACTAAGAAGACTATACTGTACCTTCAGTTTCGTAGATGGTGGTGCCGTCGTCGCCGGCAGCTACCGGATACGATGCTCGCTTGTTCAGTTTCCTCTATAAAACTACTGCCGATTTGTTGAGGAGCCATTACGCTAGTGCTACATAGTTCTTCGTTAGCACACTTACACGTTGTACATACCCATGATTGTTCTCAAGTGTCTTCATGAAGAAATGCGGTTTTTCAACATTAATTACTAAAAAGTGTGCAAAAAACGGAAAAATATATGAATCTACTTCTTGCTAATATTCTCACCGATAAATTTGGGTGACGGTTTGACAATATATGTGACAAAAGGCAGCAATGAGTATGTAAGGTCTCGGATCTGCGTATGATCGGACGGTACGGTGTATTGCAATTTGCCAACGGATTTCATTTCATCGGACGCTTAAATATAATAAGACACAGATTCGATATAGCACAATAGCATTACTGAAGATGCCTGCTTACACTGCTATGCAAAATTGTGATTATACTGCTTTTTACTATTTTTATTATCATTGCCATTGTGAAAAGACAGTTACACGATGCGCCGAGGTCCAAGTTCAATATTGCTTATCTTCATTTGAAAATATCACTGCGTCGAGGACCGACGCCCATCGGAAACTCTAGCCGGGGTGAGTCATACTTGATCCATGTGGGGGTCCCTCCAACAAACCTATGAAACACCACGATAACCATATATTATAGTAACTAACGCAAAAATAGAATATGACTACTATCATTTCCTGAAGGCAGTGGATAGTGACACCGTATGATAAACTTCTGTGTTACATGTCACGGGCCCATTACTAGAGTACTGAACTTCAATAAATCGTTTAGTATTATGAAACTACTGGGTGCAATGGCTTTAATTTATTACATCGTTCGTATTGAATTGCATGGGACCCGTATGGATGGCAAGACGTTATTTCCAAGAACACCTCGTTTTGCAAACATTTTGTGTATGTATCTCCCACTAAGATCCTGACGTCGGGATGTCCTTTTTGAACGGATGTCTGTATCCACAAAATTACTTGCACACTATTTAAATCGAGTTCCGTGTAATTTCATGATTTCTAAATCTTGACGCGGATTCGACTAGCCAGAACGAAGAAGTGACTCGATCACAAGATGTCCGTGATCTACATTGTTAATCCCCTATTATTCGGATATCACTTGTTACACTGTGAAAATATGTCTTCAACCTCGGCATTGATTCACGTGTACCAGTGGGTCATACAGTAGAATTTATGTTAGCGATAGTAGCGGTAAACAGCGCTTGATTTTGCAAGACTGATTTGTCACATCATTTGGCCGATTTGTATTGCTAAGATAATTAGTTTCATCATTCAAGTGTGTGATTTTTCTACGTTTGTTAATAGCTCAACCTCTGCCGGAAGGCTAGCAAATGAACGCGTTGTTCTGGATTTTGTCCGCACGTCACCCTGACACCTCCGTGTTCCGTTTGGTAGTAATGCTACGTCCAGTATGATTAGCAGCTATGTATATCGCAAACCGGCGGCGCTCGGCCTAGCAGAGCTATTCAAAATAAGGTTGTAATTACTCAGTAATAAGTCGACAATTGATGCTTGTCGGGCTGGCTTACTATACCAGCTTAAGTAAGCATGACAAACATGAGGAATATTTGATAGATGAAAGATCTTTGGGAACAGTTCCAGTATCAGTATTCTAATATCAGTAGGATCCAATGTCGCGGCAACCTAGGCTACTCTGGTCGAAACCGATATTGCGGTTCTTCATATCAAATGAGTCAGTGAGAGCTGCACAGAAGAACTCTCTCAGTGAGAAATATCTGGTTCACCTCTAGATGGGTTCAGTTGACTCGGGCAGCTTCAAGAACGTAGCACAGCTCGCAATCTTGTATTGGACTTACGGACCCCCGTGACTGTTAGTACGACTGAGGTGGCATTTGACTATTACTTACGTATGCCTATATGACTGTTTATGCGAGATACGTGACTTCTGATCTGTTCGCTTGAAAGGGTCACACGACCCTAGACGACTAGTCGTGTTGCACTTTGTAACCCCGACACGGCAACGCCTCTCCAGTTTTGTACTCAGGTTATGATCTGCAAACTTCCTACGTCCTAGGCCCGAAAATCTAGCAAGATATGCAGAAAAGCTAAAACAAATAGATCTAATGACAAAATACACATTGTTTATTAGAATGTACTCAAACCAAAATGTCAGACGATCACTAATAAGAGAATTTTCTTGAAAAGCCGAAGTAAACCTACACGAATAGGGTTACAAAGAGGTATGCGCATGTCAAGTCTATGGACGTTTGAATCGGTACCTTCCAGACTCATGTGGCTATAATTACTCGAAAACGACAATACTCGCTAATTGTGTTGGCTGTCCGTTATGAAGTGGGGATTTCGTGTGGCACAAGTTGTTTTAACACTCATTCCCTTGAAGCAAGCGTTAAAAGAAGTCTTGTAGTCAGTATTTTAACCGCGAATTTCCATAACAGCCGTATGGTGAACATTTCTCTAATCGGTATAGTAGGGTTAGCTATTCGAGGTATTAGACGACCGTGGACTATACAGTTTTGTTTTTCCTAAGTTTGTAAGCTATCGCCAAGTTCCATGCTTGATGCATTGTTTATGCAGAATATTACGCATGTACTTTGTTCAGTATTAATCCATATCGGCTCACGACTCTAAAGCAGTGTTTTTTCGTGCATAGGGAGTGACAATATCCTCACAGTATTTAGCGACAGCAGTAACGCCCCTCTGTCGCGATTCAGTCTCAGATAGTGAGGCCAAATATCGCACTTTTTCGACAGAATGAACACCAACAAAGCCTGAATGTTGCGTTTTTTTTCCTCTAGAATTACTTAAGCATTACTTTTATCTCCATTGTAGCGAAGCATTACAGCCTTTGCGGAGGTTAACCTATTTGTAATGGTGTAGGTGTGTTGGACGATCAGATGTCAGAAGATACTACCTTAGCTGTCTACAGATGGCTTACATTGCCGATCTGATTCGAGCTGATCAACCGCTGTTCCGGCCGCTGTTATGACTCGCTCTTTGTCTTCCGGTGCGCTTACCCGTCGAACGAAATATTATTCGTCTCGGTTTGCGCGGACTATAGACTGCTGCTAATGTTTGTGGCTTCGACGACCGCGACGGTATAGGTTTCAAAGTGGTGACAGATGAATCGTATTATCACCACTTTGAAGAATGCATTCGAAACTATTTAGACATGGGCAAACCTCTGCACAGGTGTCGAAGTTGAGGTGAGGCGGCCGTATGGTAATTTTTTGTATTTACTAAGATAGATCATTACCATTTAGATATGATTATTTCAATTGATTGTTTGGAGAACACCATGTGTTTTTCCTCAATATTCCTCCTTTTGCGCTAATGGACGACACTTTATTGCCTCGATTTGATGGCTCAGTGAAGATGAAGAATGAGGAAATCAAACTCAACCGATCATTTAAGTTTGAAATAAATAAGGAAAGATTTTAAATTAATGGCAACCCTAGAGCTGTACTATTGGGATACGTGCACGTGATACTGTCAGAAGTTCGAGCAAAGTGACTGGGTGTTAAAAGCAGTGAATCCAGCCGAGTTTCTCTCAGATACAGTGGAAGCTGTCAGCTTTTCTAAAACAGGAATAATAGCGTGAAGGTACAGCACTTCTGCTACGACAAACTTAAGTGATGTTTTTCTTTCTAGCGTGAAACGTAACCAGCCAAATGAAATGTCTGGGACGAATAAAATGGGCAAGGGTATAGTACGATAGACTAAATACAGGATTATAGTTTCCCGAGCCGTTACCGAAACCATTAACACTATGAATAATCGAAAGAAAAAATAAACAGTAAGTCTGGCAAACCAAATCTGGAAGAAAACACAGGGTCTTAACACGATCGTCCGTTGCGATATCGAAAATGAAAGGCTGTTGATAGGAAAAGTACTGAGAGCTTCCTACTGTGCATCTTTGCTGAACCTGAAGGGTTACATAAACTAGACTTTACGAACGATAGTTACTAACAAATTTGTTACTGCTGAGCTATTGAGCTAATATTGAGGCTCAAACTGAAGCAGACATGCAATTTAACTTGGTATGACGATTAGCAAGCTACAATTTCGGTGCATATATTTGGCCACTTGTGGTTTTATCTAATTGGGGACTCATTATTTGTAAGTACTCCAAATATTATTTTTTAACTTCATCAGTATCTTGAAAACCGTTATAATCCTCCGTCGTCAAAATTGATTACAAAGTTTGCTCGAAAAATAAACATCTTTACCTAGTAGCTAATGCCAAACCCAAACATTCTCGAACGATACCTGGACAAATGACAGTTCTCGATCTATTTTGAGGCCGCTAGATACGAACTAAACGGAGCTGCGCATTAGGGCGTTCGTGATGGCTCGTGCGTACGTTCAATGTCACACGTTCGTTTGGTTATTGTTACGTTAGTAAGCGGCTACCGAGTGCTGCTGTTCATATACTCTGCTTTGATAGTCTCCACGCTCACCGTCTTTCTATATATCGTTCGTCGTTTTAACTAAATAAGGGCTACTTCAGCCGAGACCATGATGACCGTGATCATGGAGGTGTGACAGTGCTGATAATAATGTGGCATGATTAGCTCGTTTCGCCTTTTCCTTTGCTCGTGAAGAGTTTAGGGTGTTCTGGCCGACAATCGCTATCCGCTTGCCGTCGCGCGTATGCCCATTTTGTTGGTATGGTCTCTTTGCTATGTAATTATACGGATATGGCGTTTTGTACTCTTTGTCTATCGCGATCTCGACGTGTTATTCAGCCATTCACAAAATTAACTATCTATAAGAGTCAAATACGGCAGTCAGAGTGACACCGTTTGGAATGAATTAAGTAGCAAAATGCTCGTATTTGATGCAATGCCAGCCAGCCAGCCAGCTAGCCTTGTAGGCATTGTTCAAGAGTCTCGTAAAAGTGTCGAAACAGTCGGAGAGAAATCAATCTAATTAATATGTAGATCATTTGGATGAACTGCTATACAGCGCCTATAGCATATGGCTGGTACCGTCGTCTGCTTTTAGTCGTAACGGGCAATTGGCACGCTGGCGATTTTTATACGAAGATACGAGACGGTGAGGGGTTTAGAAAGAAATTTTCGGTGTAAGGGGATGATAGATTGACTTCGCAGCGGGGATCGGTGCGCAAGCCTGTTAGTCATTAATTGTACGGTTCGATATCTAGGCTCTGCTAGCGTCGTAAATGATTAAGTGTTTGGCACAGATTTTCAGTGAGCTTCACGATTGACCAGATCATTGGCGATTAGATGTGATACTCGTCAGGAATCATGACCTCTAGACATAACACACTGGCAGTTTCAACCCCAATGAAATGCTGGTTTGCAATTAGCACCACAACTATGATTTTTATTGCGAACTCAACATGGCCTAGTGCGATCACTATTCTTTAATAGACTATGGAAGTGTTTACATGTTATAACGCATTCATATGGATAACTATGGACTCGAGATATGAATTGGTCCATTTCATTGCGGGCTAGATGCATAGTAATCTAAAAAGGCGTTTTCGGAAAGTACGCCTATCCACTTTCCGCGTTGATTGGTAGCTGTGGCACAACGTGGGTGATACAGTCCAGCGTAATTGCGTAGCGATGTTCTTGAAAGAAGAGGAGAGACCGGGAAACTGGTTTCTCACACCGACCCAACGCGGCTGTACCTGGGTTATCGTTTGGCCGACGTGTGTGACTAGAACTCATATCACTGTATAGATAGATAGATAGATAGATAGATACCCTATATATAAACTAAAGATTTAATTTTATTCAATATTAACAGAATGAGTAATTTAATTTGAATGTAAAAACATGCTATATATTTTGTGCATTGAATTTGTTGCCATTGATATTGAAAGATGTGGCTCCTTGCAGAGAAAACATATGGCTTATCTAAACAGGAAAACAAAACGTGCCCGCTTCACTATAGCAGAAGGAATCGAAAATACATTTTAATCGACTCTTAGATTGTACAATAACAATTTCTGAAAACAACGGACTAGGCTTGCGGGTTTCGACCCACGCTTCATGAGGTCGTATGACCACTTCGCCTGAACGATATGTAACACTCAGTTTACTTAGACCTCCTTTGGGGTAAATACAACCTAAGAGACCGTTAGGCATATGCCTTTCGTATATGAGTAGATTAGTGGAATTGCTTATAGGTCACAGCTGCCTCAATACCCTCCCAGAGGATTCAACCTTATCCCGATTTTATTCTATTAACATATACTGTACTTTTTTTCAGATTTCAGAGATGGCGAGTGAAGCAATGCACAGTGGAGAACCTTCTGACCCAGGCCCTGGAGGGAGCGCTGGGTCTGCTGGCACACCCCATAGCCCTCCAGCGATCAGCTACTCTCCTAGCAAACGGGAGCCGATTGCCGTGCGCTCCGCCAGAATCAATCACTGTGTACTCGGCGTGAACAGCTCGTTACGGAGTCAACAGTCTTTGATGCCGACCAATACACCATCCTCAGTGACACCTGAGGGACCCGATAACGCTACACAGGCCAAAAATCTTATTAATCGGTAAAAAGATTGCGACTGAGCAAGTGTTATAATTTTCTGATGTTTGTGGAACGGTGTTTTTAGCACAGCAACAAAAAATTATTTGAAATTTCTAGATTTTGTCACAGTCTCTTGAAAAGCATTGTTCTCAAAACAGATAAAGCGATTCTGGACAAGAAGCGAATTTTTTTTCCAGAAATTTCAGAGTTTTCTGACAGAGCTAGGACGAGAGCCTCTGCTAACTTTTTGTAATTGAAGATTATGTTAAATACAGCAGACGTTTTTCGTTCCACTGAATGAAAAATACCTTTGCTTTAAGAAAATTGCACTATATAGTCGTACTCACCCCCCCCCCCCCATTATGAGTAGGAGGTTCACGACTTATTGAAGAAGAATGAAGCAGAAATGAGATGTTAGTAATATGACCTTCAACGGCGTATTGACACCATTTTAACATAAGGTGGACAGTAATGTATGACTGGATGTACCGCCAAAAAAAATGCTATTTTCAACACATTCAAATTGCATTTTTTCCGTATACCTGACCAATTTTCCTTAATCTTTTTAAAAAAATCGCTCCTGTTTGATTAAAGAAAGCATTCCCGCGTCATTTCTATGTACTTTAGATCGATTTCAAAAAGGTTATGCCCATTACCAGGTTAGAAAAAGTTCGTTTTTGCTATAAGGCTAAATTTTATCTCGAGCGTACCGTTTATCTCTCTGAAAAGTATCCCAAACGTGAAAAAGATGCGGAAAAGTCTAGTGCAGTGTGTCTCTATGACTAATTAATGAGAATATGAGCAATGTAGGCTAAATGCAGCCAACGGAATACCGATAATGGAAAACAAGGGATCTCGAATCAACGATATAGAACAGTTAATCCAACCTTTGTACACTACGAGAATACTTTTCTACGCCTTTCGCATGCGAATAGTTGACGAAGTAAGTTTTGTTTTTCTTGCGCCTAAAGGATATATATAATATAGTTTTTTATGAGGCTGACATGGTCTTCGTCATTAAAATTGACAAGGTGTTTACCATCTAAACTTAAGGACACGTGGTGGCCTGGGATCGCATCTGAACATAGGCATACTTCGTCTCGCGCTGGAAGTAGGTCGTATGCAGCAATGCCTAACCCCATAAATACTGGACATAAAACTCATTTAGGTGATATACTTTCCCTATGTTGAGATCTTCACAACGTGAAGAACCGCACACTAATTTTCGTTGGCGTTGAAAGCGTACTGGCGGCTGGATTTTTTATCGTATCGTCGTTGACTGATTATAACGAGGCATTATTTATAATTAGTACCTAGCCAGTCGAGGCATCCAGTCTAGAGCTTTACCTGAACGTATGGAAAGAACTTTTTTTTTGATACTTTTGGATCGTTAAAAGAGCGTCCTTCTGTACTATCGAGATGTGAATGTTTGTCAACATTTTCTTAAATAGTTTTTATCCCTGTATATCCCTAGATTGGTATCCATCAAATGCTGGATTCCTTAACATGGTAATTTTTGACCGCATCACCTATTTGTTCTTTTCAGACCGACCCAATAACATTTTTCCGCTGTTTCTCTAAGTTCGTTTTTTCGAAGCAATTTGTCGTGACGTTTTTTACGTCGTAAAGAAAATCAGCGTAGCGTACAGAAGACAGTTGTCGATGCTCCATGGGATACGCATGCCAAATGCTGTATATTTCTCAGTGAAAGCTAAAGGAACATGTTTTGTTTCTACGGGTTGGAGATGATCCGACGTAGAATTCGTTCTGTTGTGCACTACTTACTAATAGCTCGTGAAGACACTTCGATGAGTTGGCTTAAACTAACTGAATGATTCATTAAAGCTAAACATAAGTAGGTTCTTCTAATGTCATGTTATTGCAGCGTAATTTTCTTTAGGTTTGAGTGACTTGTTTTCCATTTGGCGATATCTTGTTTGCACTGGAGCTAATAAACATAGTGTTTTGTTTTGGTTATCTATCTGTCATGTTGCACTGAACTGGAAACCACTGGGCCGCTTAAGAGTTGCCCTTTCGCAGGAGATTCTCGTACGCTACTTATTTATTTGAAAGGATCTTGTATATAGAATTATATTTTTATTATATATATATATTTAATTATATATTCGTTTGTCAAATAATAAGACCTTCTGCGTTGTTGTAGAGTGTAGCTTTCCCATTCTTTGAAAAGATAGGCAATCATTTCATTTTCGCTATAATTTTGTTATTCTACATTAATGGTTCTATGCTGTGATAAAAGTCGTTAACCTATCTCGTTTCAGCACTCTCATAAACTATGCCTGTCGCGTTTTAGAAATCGGCTATTTTTATCTCCGATACATACTTCATGCTTTAGAGGAGATCTGTTCTAGCGACACGAGCCGAGACAGAAAACAGCTGATGGTGCTATTTCCGTTAACAGTAGGATGATTATTTATGTCGTTTTAATTCTTTCAGAGATTCGTTGCTGGATGCCCTTTTTGTTCTCTATGAGGAACTGAATAATGACTCCATGAGGAAAGATCGAAACGTGTTACAGTTCCTTGAAAAATGTAAGGTTATGTCACAAAACAACCATTATCGCCATTATTATTAGAAGTTTTGCGACAGAGCTCGATATCTCATTGTTTCAACCGGGCATTTTTAGTTATAATTCATGCTGACCGTACGCTGGAGTTCTTTGAAAAACCGAACAGAAAGACCGACTCTTAGCCAAATAGGTTTTGAGAGATAGCATGTAATCATGTTATGGTAATGGAGTTCCAAAGGCTTAGTTTTGTCACGATCAAGCGTGTGCTACATAAAGCGAATCTTTGGCTTGTTTCGATGCTACAGTCCGAGGCCCAATGATGGACCTTAGAGCTCTACGAGTCTCGATCAGTGACTTTGAAGTGAAGAAGATTATTGGGCGAGGACATTTCGGAGAAGTAAAGGTCGTCAAAGAAAAGGCCACCGGCGAAGTTTTCGCTATGAAGGTAATGCGTTAGTAACACTCATCTTGATCAGATTATTTTCCGAATGAAAAATTGTTGGGACCATGATCGTCACTCGAGTTTGCGTAATGTGCGCTCATGCAATGAATAGTCTTGTTATTACTTCAAAAAATAACACAAAAAAACCGTTTTCCTTGACCTAAAAAAAACTGTTATACATTTCTCAAATGATAGGTGTACTATCTACCGACTAGATAAACAGTGTCTACCTTTTCCAGTCAGTCATTCATATTGATATCTTGGTATTTTACGTGACAAGGCGCTTTTTCTGTAGGGACACATGTAATTCGAAACGTGTTTGTTTAACCATATACCAATGGACGCGTAGCGGAACAATCCGTAAGTTGTTCCAATTAGAAACTTCATATAGTTTGCTTGTCCCGTTGTCTCTTTGCGGTGTCTTGATCATTGATTTTGCTGATGGCGGATGGCGCTGCTGGTGTCTCTGCGTAGACTCTGCGTAAGTGCGACACGCTCTCTCAACAAGCGGTGGCATTCTATGAAGAGGAACGTGATATTATGGCTGACGCGCAAGATACCAAATGGATTACCCAACTGCACTACGCCTTTCAGGTACTGATAGCCGAAGTGTATGACTGATGCTTGCGATAACATGAGCTTCGTTTCGCCACTCGCGCGGCTCGTATAATGTTAAGGATATTTTTTGTTGTTTTTAAGAAAGGTAGCCCAAACAAAAGAGGTTGACTTGACAATATTGTAGTTGTTCATCGACAGTTTAGGTAAAAGCTATATTCAGTGCTGAGTAAGCGTTAGAAACGCACGTATGAAATTTCACTTGAGGCACAGCTTGAGGAACCTTGCATTAAGAATGTTAGAGACACTGTCTGGTCCGTACAGGTGGCTTGTTGTGATGTAAATATTACTCCATTGCTTATGACTTAGTCTTATCTGTGCCTTTTCCTATATCATTTTTATAATACGCGGGAAAGCTTGTCGATTTACTAATAACGTTACCCATAGTAAAGACCGCACAAAATTTGCTATCTTTCTCGTAGACGTATGTTTTTTTATTACGTATAACAGATGCATAATAGTTCTGCGCTTACTCTCAATTTTTGCTATTATAAAATAACAGGATACGGACAACTTGTACCTCGTCATGGAATTTCTGCCTGGTGGAGATTTGCTTTCTTTGCTAGACCGCAACGATAACATCCTCAGTGAAGAACACGCGAAGTTTTACCTGGCTGAACTTGTTCAGGCAAGTGCTTGTCTTGTTTAACTTGACTGCGCAAATAATTTTTCTGATGAAAACGTTGCTTTGGAGTAATTGGACCGTCTAATAATATTAGCACTATTCAGGGTGATAACGATCGTAAAAATGTAATAGTATTTATAATAATACCCATTTACAGGCTATTCACACACTGCACTCGATGGGTTACGTGCACAGAGATATCAAGCCGGACAACATACTTATTGATCGCAGTGGACATATCAAGTTGGCGGATTTCGGTTCGGCAGCGCGGCTCTCGTCAAAAAAGGACGTTACTTCGAAGATGCCGGTTGGCACACCCGACTATATTGCGCCTGAAGTACTCCAAGCGATGAATGAAAGAGGTCCCAGTAAAGGACAGACTTATGGCACATGTTGTGACTGGTGGTCTTTGGGCATTGTCGCCTATGAAATGCTGTATGGGCAAACCCCGTTCAGTGATGAACGTGTTATGAAGACGTATTCAAATATTATGAATTTCAAAAAGACGCTTGTGTTTCCCGCAGAGTTCGTCGTCAGTCCACAGGCGATCGCGTTGATTACCGCTCTACTAGAACAGGCAGACAAGCGTCTGGACTATAAGGTGAATTACAGTCGTCCTAGTACGACTCTCTAGAATTTACAACTAATCCAATCTTAGGCGGTACTGAAAAAAAACTTCTATTTTTTAAATCAAGCAATTTTATTCAAATTTATTGATATATTTGTCGTTTCTCTAAACAGGGTTTGATCGAGCATAAGTTCTTTGAAGGTACCTTCTGGACAAATATACGTCAACTTGTACCACCATTCGTACCTCAACTCACTGGCCTGGATGACACATCGAATTTCGACGATTTTGAGGATGACTCACGTGCGTCAAACCAGAGGGCTTATCTGCGATCGCTTGCCAAAAAAACGTTTGAAACCGCGAATCTCCCTTTTGTCGGGTTCACACATACCACGCAGGCTGGTCAACATTCGGTATGAATCGATAATTGATTTTTTCACGTGAATTTCGAATTTTTCATAAATATTCTAAGTTTTCGTATTACATTTAAGGTACTTAACATAAATAATGTTAGACTGTCACAGAAGCTGTATTATAGAAATTACCAACGAAGCTTTATGCAAGATTGTGATGCATGAAACGCATTACATACCTCGAGAATTTTCCAACTTTGGTAGAAGAGTGGGGGTATTTTGTACTTTCATACTCATATCCTACTCGAACACAGTTATATCGTCGGTTCCCGTTTGCCTCCAGATGCATGACAGTTCGCTAGTCGCACCAGTGGGTCATCAGGCGGCGTTAGCAGCAGCGACGGGAACACTGAGTCGTAAAGACGAGAGCCGTCGTAAGGAGCTGCAGGAGAAACTTGCCTTGGCTCAAGCCATGGAAAATCAACTGCGTGATGCTAATGAAGGTTTAAAAACACGTCTCAAGGAGTCTGAAGCCCGGACTGGTAGGATTTTCTCATACTTGTAATCTAGGTAAAAAGAAAAAAAATTAGTCCGAGAGTCACTTTGGCTAGTGAATAAACAAATTGATTCGTTCGTGTTTCTAGAGCTGCTAATTAACTAATTCATAGAGTTCTTAACGATGTTTCTAAAACACTGTATACTTCGGAACTATTCAATAGGGTTTCTTTGGGTTCTTTTTCCATTTCAGCTAAATTTGAAAGTGAACTGGGTACACTAGAACGCCAAATAATAGAAAAGGATGCAAAACTAAAGAAGCTTGAAGAGCAGTGCCAACATGAAACAGCACTGCGTAAGAGGAGCGAGCAGAAAGCTGTGGAAATCGTTAAGGTAATTGTCGAACTTGATATTTCGGTCATACCAAGATAGCCAACAGTATAATGAAACAATAGTATAACAAATTGAGATATAATTATTTTTAATAGTAACACCATTGCTTTCTGAATGCTGAAAAATTATTGATAATGTCAAGTGATGCCTATCAGTCACATTTTCTCTTGGCAATAGGGGTATCAACGACAGTACAAACGTTCGGATGAACTAATTAAGTGGAGCCTGACAGCGCCTGATAGCCCCCTCAGTGAGCGAAATCAATCCCGGTTACTGCATGAACTGCCTCAGCAGATTCTCAGCCAACAGGAGATAATTGAGCAGTTGACCAGTGAACTGCAAAAAACACGAACCATCGCCCGCGACTATAAAGACAAATTTCATTCGGTAAGACTTCCCGAGTTGACATCGTTTTTGTAGAGTTACATTTAAATCACAGGTAAGAAACACTTGTTTCAAAGATATTTTGTATGTTGCATATTATCTTATTTTCCGCCCTATTAGGTGTAAGCGAAATCTAAATATGTACACGATACGGATCAGAAATACTATGCGGTGTTTTACCGTGATAACTTAGTCTAATTTTAACTACGAGGTTTTTAGGAGCCTTGTGGATATTTATCGAGTTATATGTTGGTTTGCTGTAGATCGTATCGGACAGCGAAAAGTGTGTTGAACGGCTGCAAGAAATTCAGAGTGGGAATTTGGCATACGTTGAAGGTCTCAAGAAGGATTTAAGTGAAGCTGTCAATCAACGTCGGGTCGTTGAGAACAACCTTGCCAACGCGAAACAACTCTGTGAAGAATACGTGGGTCGTCTCAAGGAATTGCAAGATAGTAACAGAGAGCTAAAAATTAAGGTAATATTAGCTTCTTATGACAACAAATTAGGCCATCCGATGTTATTCTTTCGTGGCTAAAATACTCGCGTGTTTCACTATTATACACATAGCAAATTCGTATACAGCAGTCCTTCAAGAAACCTTACATTCTCATTGTGCCTGTAAAGCTATTCATTTTTTCAAAAATTGTATGACTTTCGTTTAGGGATGTATATAACGGATATTAAATTTTTATTATTGATAACCCTCTTAGGTTAAAACGTTGGAGGTCCGGGTGTCCGAGCTAGAAACCGAACTCCGAAGCAGTGTCGTTAACGATGGCACAAGTCAGCTAGAGAATGGTGAGGACTTGTGTGAAACTCATTCAGCTAGCCAGCAGCTGGTTATTGAGTGCGGCCAGCTGCGCGCCAAGCTACAAAAGGCTCAAGAGACGAACGCTCGTCTTGAAATGCAAGTTGTCGAACTTACTTGCCAGGTAGTGCAGCTGCAAGACCCAAGACCGACGGAGGAACTCGATGAAAAGAAACTTCAACAGCCATGTTCTACCTGCAGTTCACTTGAACTGCAGTTAGCAGCTTTTAAACGACAACTCGAAGAACAACGACAGAGTGCCGTAAGTACCTCGGAGCAAAGTAAAGGTGACGAAAAGATGACCGCTGGAGGTGAGCGGGATGATGTGGAACCACGAAGATCAGTTCGATTTAGTGATCTGGCTGACTATACGATCAACCTTGACAATGCGACTGAGGACCCGTGTGCACTAGACGCAAACAGAAACAGGTAAAAGCTCTTGGGGACCATAGCTAGGAACGCAAGTTTCTCTACCTCGACAGTTGATATACCTAATGGCTGTATGGCTCGTCCTCAACGTTGGCTATACAGGAAACAAAATAATTAAGGCGATTATGACCTGGACCCGTTTAGAAAACGAGAATCCTAGTGTTTTAGTGGGCTAATTCGAGAAACTAAAGCAATAATAATAATAATATTTAATAGTAATAATAGTTACAATCATTATTCCTAAAAAAGCCCGCACAGTTTACCGGGGATTACCTCAAATACATTTTTCGTCTACATTTTGTTTCTGTTGAAAACCACAACAGTGTCTCAGCCGTGGTACTTACGGACGATGAAAAAAAGCAGCGCCTCTCAATGGTCTCCTCGCGCGCCTCGACGAACAACTCGTTTCATACGGTTGCCAGTTGTATATGCAACTGTGTCGAGGAAAACAAACTTCTTAGACAACAGCTTAGTCAGGCCAAAGAAGATCAAGAAATCAACAAACGCAGGTACGCAGTAGTTCCGGCAAAAGCTCTAAGCGACGCGGACTGAGCAGACACAAATCCATTCATTCGAATGGGGTGCTCACAGCTAACTCTGCCCAACTAGATTCACACTTGGGCTAGACGAATCTATTTTTTTTATCCAAACGCCTTAGAGCGCTTCAGTCGACCCACACAATACAAGGATGCTCAGACGATGCCGGTCGTAGAGGTTTTCCTCAAACTTTTTAAAAAACTGTTGAATAGGTAAATTAATTGACCTTACGCGCGGAATACGCGGCAATTTACTGTACAGGCGTCTTGAACAGGATATTAACGGGATGTTTCATGGTTTTGTTGAAGCATGCTTCAAATATACTTCAAACAAAACAAAAAAACATAACATGCTGTTTAAATAGCTATATTATTGCATGTTGGTTCATGCTTTGTTGTTACGCCGACTTATATTTCATTTCGGATTGAACAGATGGTTAGACACGTCGGTCGATCTACGTAAGCGGAACGAGGAACTGAAAGAGCTGCAATTAGACCTTCGTATAGCCACTCGTGAGGCGAAAGCACTAAAAGGTGCGGCCGATCAGAGTGAGCAACTTCGGCAACAGGTCGAGGAACTTCGATGTCTCCTAGACGAACGTGTTCGAGCGGAAGAGGTGAGAAGGCCACGAATACGCCGTGCCCAAGCTGTCAGCCGACTAACACCTGGCAATTCCTCTATTCGTTTACAGATATCTTATTTGTAATAAATGAAATTGCGATACAAAAAAGCTTGCAATACAACCAGCGATGTATTTTGTAAGAAAAGGACGGAACCGAAAAAGTAACTATAAACTGTTCTGAAGTCAAGTATGGTGAACCTGCCATTCAACATGTTTCCACTTTCTTTAAAGTTAGTGCTGATCCGAATGTAAATAAGTACAACAAAAGTATGCTGTGTTTAAAGGAAATAATGTACAGAAAATACCCGTGTACACCAATTGTGTGAAAAACTAAAACCTATGAATTAAAGAAAGCTTTCAAACGTGCAAGGTTATATTTACATTTCACTAAGAAAATGATTGTTGTCATTATTCAAACACTTTATTCAAAAAGTACAAATGTAGCATGGCATGAGAATCATTGTTTAAGCACACCTGAAGCTTCCTATATTTTTATTTATAAATTTTATATATAAAAATAGATTTATAAATGGCTCTTAACTGTACATACTAGTAAAATGTTGCGCTTGGATTGAGTTAATATCAATCGGATCATTTTAGGATTCATGCTATTGTGGGCTCTGTGCATTTGATTGAACGTGGCGATGTTTAGAAGCTGAAGCTTTTGGGTACGTGTGTGTTACGATGACTCTTTATGAAGTTCGGTCTATAGAACGTCTCACGACTGACTAGAAACTATTCTTGTTCAGGCCGAAATTTCATACTGGCCTTGTATACATTAACACAGCTTTGATACCTAAGCTATATATATATATATAGCTTAGGTTAGCTATATATATATTTCTTATGGAAGTGTGAATCTCTGATAATAGAAGTACGAAAGATCTAATGGGGTCACGACTAGCTTCGTAAGTGTTGCATCAGCTTTATGCTCCGCATTTTTTGGGCCTGTGGAAGTAATTGCTTCCAAAGCTTTTATGAACTTTTGCCACTCAAGGTCTACCTGTCTTATAGAGTATTTTTGTTTTTCATTATCGTGTATGAACGTGTCTTAATAGACAACCTTAGGTCCAACCTTTTTGGTCATCAATGAAAGTTTGCCAGTCTGCTGACTGAGTAACAGAGCTTTCGCAGTGTACGCTGAACAACTAATTTCAACGTCGTTTACATGATACTCTATTGACATAGAGGTTGAAAGGCCAAATATTCATGTATGTACAAGAAGTTTATCGAAAGGTGCAATATTGTTCATTCGGGGCACCCAGATGTTGGTCTGTTGCGCTTTGAATACTAATCCTAAATACTTAGTCAGTGCACAATTTTTCTCGTGAATCTAACGTACTATAGCAATGCCTGAAACATCAGTAACCTAATCGTTGTTACCTAAAACGTAGTAGAACCCACAAAAGTGGACGCCAAACAAGAAAACCCTCTTCAGCTGTAAGACGGTGGCCTCTTTTATTCTTCAGTGTGTGCATAAATTAGGCGTAAATCAATACATGCATTTTGTTTGTTATTGGTGCACTGAAGAAAAACACGTTCTGTGGCTATATCTTTACTTTGTTAAAGACCGATTCAGCTTTTAAATTACCTTTTGCTTATGTAACTTTGTTTAAGACATTGAAAACGCAACTAAACGAAGCACGAGAAGCGGCAACTGTAGCTGCGGACTCCGCAGCACAAGACGCCTTAGCTGCTGATAGTGAACGAGCCAGACTCGAGGAGCGCCTTAGGGTGCTCACCGACACCACAAGCACACAAAATGTGAGTCGTCGCATTCATTTACATTTTGAGTGTCTTCATTTATCTAGATATAATTATTTTATGTCGTACGGGGATCATTTAATTCGTCTGGTTGGTTTGGACAGGATCTTAAGGAGCAACTTGCCACTGTCTCTGATCAAATTGGTCAACTGACGCTTCGTTGCAAGATGCTTGAGAAGGACGCAGAAATGGCTAATCGTCGAAAGGAAGACGCTTTGAAGCAGCTCGAACAGACGCGCAAGAGCCTTAAGCAGGTTAGGCTCAAACCTTTTAGTATGAGTGGTTATTATATTGGTTGAAACTGGTTAAGAGATTGGCGAAATAGCTTTACTAGATGAAAAATACTTCCAGTTTTTATAATGTGCATACTTTTGAACGGTTAAGCGTCGTTTACAGGTTGCTGAACTCCTGTTAATTATTCACTCTTAACATACAGTAAACCCATATTAATTGTAATAGAAAATATCTTCTTGGTTTTTCCGTTCTCGTGTTCTGTTCTTCGTAATTGCACTAAATAGGTACGTAAAATATAATCCTCTACTAATTCAGGAAGATGCACGCAATCGACTGGGCCGTAGATAGCACAACGCACTTAATACATTCTTACCAATTCTAGGAACAAATGCAGAATGAGAATTGGAAGCGTGAGTTCTCATCGCTAGGAGATCTCATGAATGGACTTAACGATGAGGCTGAGCAAAACAAAACGTAGGTCACCCTTTCATTACTATTACTATTAGTCGATAACAAAGAATCGTCTTTTATCCTTTATAGGTTTACATGGCCATTGAGGCCACAGTGGAATAGCCGTAGCCTCGGGCTGTGAAAGTTGAAGTCGTGTAGGCCGAGTTCTACTTCCGCGACGTCTAGTGTTTGCAATATTGCATCCAGCTGGCTCAATGCTATGTGACGGACTATCCGTAAATAATTTAACGAAACGAATGAAGCTAGAACGGAATAGTATTGTGAAAGTCTCTCTTAATAGGATCGTCGTAACTTTATTCACATTTTTCGTTTCCAAGACGGTACTCCTTTTGTCTGGTGATCCACTTCCGTCACCAGTCATAATATTTAACTCCGCTTAATAATGTTGTTCCGATCTTCATTGCAGTGAGATCGTATCACTACGTGATCAGGTATCGAAACTACGTCGTGAAAAAGCCTCCCTTGAGCCTCTTCCGGAATTGGTCGAAAGCCTTCGAGCGGAAATGGCCGAAAGGGAATCGGTATCCATGGATATGCGGGACTCCCTACAAGGCGCACTCCGCGAGTCTGAAGAGGCGCACCGTCGTGAAGCCGCACAGCGAGAGCAGCTCGCCCAACAGCTAACACTGGTCCAGGCCGAGCTCAAGGTCAAAGCCCGCTCGATCAACAGTCTTGAAGACGAGATCGTGACCCTGAAACGGGAGACAACGAAGTATATAACAACGATAAACAATCTTAACCGAAATATGGTCCAATTGAATGAACAGCTTGAAGACGTCAACATTCGTGTACAGGACCAAGACGAATGCCATCGTAGCTTGTTGGCAGAGATGGATCGAAAGACGATGGAACACCAATTGGTTGTCGTGCGAATTACTGGTCAGCTCCAACAGTATGCTAAGGTGAGAGAGAATATAGAAGACAATTTAACAATAAAACTAAACACGTTACCGCACCTCGAATTTTGATGACAAACACGAACTATGCCGTTACATTGTAGTACCGTATTTATTAGCGATGGAAATAATGCTTTTTTCTTACAATTTCTGTTAATATGTCTTCGTTAATAGCCTAAAATATCCTGGGTCTAAATTGTTGCACTTGGCAAATTGTTGTACGAAGCTACCAGCATTTGCTTGAAGTAACGCTTTAGTTTGGCACTCGAAACATCTCGTTTTGACTACCGATATTAGCGGCACATCCGTCGTTGGTCTATTGTAGGTTGTTGATCTGCTTAAGGAGCAGCTCGAGAAAGCGAGTGCTAAGAAGACCGGTGGACTGTTTGGATTTGTCGGCAAAAATCGTGAAGATAAGGCGGGTTCCGGTAAAGATGGAAACGTTGGAAGTAATCAACAGGCGAGTTTAGGTTCTTTGATTATATTAAACAAATGATTAAGCTAGTTTTCACATCTGTGAAATGATTAATGCATGTTTCGTCATTGTTTACCTGAGTAAATTCACACGGCAACCTATCGCACATGATAGCTTGTGCATATCGTTCTTTTTATACAGCAATCAAAGATCCGTAAGCTTCAACATGACCTCGATGAAAGCCGTCAGGAAGTCATGATGCTTCGTGAGCGACTTACTATTGAGGAGGAGAAAAACAAAGCCTATCGAGCTCGTCGAGGCACTCGCGACAATAACACTAACAGGTAACTAGGTAACATATAACTCATTACCTAAACGAACTCATTGACGGGTGTTTTCATGAAAGTTCAAAAAGATACGTATATAAATATTACATAACTAAAATAGGAGTAATGTCTTAAAATCAATACTTCTCATTAGATGGAAGCCCCCCTACAAATTAATAGATGTAAAATTTTGCGCCCATAAGTCATACGTTACGAGCATTCCTAAACATCACGTTTATTGGTTTCACATTATTGATAGATAACAAAATCATAACCAAATAACCTAAACATAATATCTTCAGCTCGTTTTATGTCTAGACTACCTGTACCTTGTCGCCTTCGCATTGTTCCTTGCCTGTTATCTAATAAATTTCCCTCTAATTCTGAATCCATTATCTAACGAACCTTTTCTATCTAACGAACCTCAAATCCCCTACTGATCGATAGCTTTCAAGAGTCGGCCTCGTTTGGTAGCACGGTAAGCGGCAGTGGCAGTGCTGGCAGCAGCGTGTTAGCACCGTTTCCACAGTCACACGGACTCGATAGTGCGAGTTCCAGTCTCAGCGATTGCAGCCAAAATGACACGAACACAAATAGCGGACCGCACGGGGGGCATTCGGGATCACCGTCATCATCGAATTCCGTGAGTATCTGCCCCATTTTGGACCCATACTAAATTTAGCTTTGACAAATGCAATTTTCGATCTTATATCAACACGAAACCCTGCGCTTTTCTTAGGTGAACCTGTGTTCTCCGAATCAGCTGCGCGCCGCTGAAGAACTGGCCAAATCACCAATGTCCAATCAGGCGCTTATGATGGCTGCTGTGCCTACAGGAACCGTATCTCGAGCCACGGAAGGCGTTCCTACTAATCGCGTATCGCATAATATCCCGCACAAATTCAGCCATTCTCTTGCCTATACTAATAGAAAATGCGATCTTTGCTCACGATCACTGACTGTAGGCACCAAAGTTGCAGTGTAAGTGTGATCTCCAAACCCCTTTGCAGTGAGTTTCTATGTATCGCTTCTGTCATGCATTAAAGAACGTTTTCAAAGGCTCGGTATCTATCGATTACTAAGAGAAATCTACTCACTAAGTATTTACAAGTAACGACTCCTGATATCACTATTTTTTTTTTTCATTTATATTCATGTTTCTAATAGTAGAATTCTTCATTGAAATTACCCCCCGTAATTGAGATCTGAACAAAATTCTCTGAATTTTTTAATCTAATAATTCTAGATAGATAGATAGAAGCAAGTACGTAGTTATCTATATCGTTTTGTCTTTTCCGTGTCTACGAATTTTTCCCGTATCCAGTTGCCAGGAGTGTGAGCACTCGTTCCATGTGACCTGTTCTCAGAAGGCCCCACCGGTTTGCGGCCTTCCGCGGGAACTGCTGCGGGAATACGAGGTTGTCAAGGCTGTACGATTTGCAGGTGACGTGAAAAATGCGTCATTTAACCCTGAGCATCCTGAGGGTTACGTAAAGATACCGAAGTAAGTGCGTCCGGTAAAGGCAAAAACCAGTACAATTCAGATTTTAGTGCACATAGTTTCTAAACACAATCCCTTTTTAGTAGTGAAGTTTATCTCTGTTGCAGATTAGGATGAGGGTTCCGTCTCTGAAAAGCTAGTTGCATTAGCCAATCTAGAGAGAATCACTTGACATTAAGAAAAGCTCGAATTTTGAGTTGAGTGCTAGGTTAGAGAAGATAAAGCAATCGTGTTATAACAATTATGTACACTAATTACTGACGCTGTCTTCATTTTATTTTCCTTCATTTCTATAGAAACGGGTGCCCAAAACTCGGGTGGGAGAAAGCCTACCTGGTATTGGATGATGGCGTCCTGTACATCTTTGACAAGAGCTTTATACCAGGAGGTGACCAGATTGAGGCTATTGATAAGTAAATATTACAATTTGCAGACATCCTGTAGAACTAATGACCACTTTTCACTTTATTTTACACCCTTCCTAGCAATATTTTTCAGAATACCACACTCAAAGCTTAAAACACTGGAGGCTTTTTCCCTAGATAACTAATCACCGTTATAGTACGGGCGATATGCGTATCAAGATAACATGTGGGCAGTAAAACATATTCAAGGTACAATCTCGTGGGTGATGGCCAGACTCATATGTATCTCGATCGGGACGTTCTTCGATCCGAACTGCGAGAAGGTGTCAACACCGAACTAGTACTTAAACTCGTTGTACGAAGCCGAGATCAGGAGCCTCGTCGACCTCTTTACATGCTTTTCCAAGGAGTCGCCGACAAACGGCTTTGGCATGACGTGATCCAAAATACAATCGAACGCTTCTCAAAAGGGGTAAGGGCGCGCACCGATTTAGTGGCAGACAAAAACAGAAGGTATCTAATATTGGTCGGAATTTATCTAAAAATCTTAAATCCATACCAACAAGAAAAGAGCTCAGCACAAGTTCCATAAGCCTTTACGATTCGAGATATCACGTTCGAATTTGAATAGTATCTTAGAAATATTTTTTTTTGTCGTGAATAAGCAAAGGAATAAAGAAATGTATTAATACCTTGTCGGTTCGTCTACAGAGTAAGAGTATAACTCGTCGTATAGCCGATCTTGCCGATAATTACGGACCTATGTATTGCATATGGGAGGTTGATTCCGACGGCGATCTTCTACTGGCTGGAGGGGCCGACGGCCTGATGGTTGTGGACGGACGGGCTCGAACTCTGCGGCGTGCTGTGGCAGGGGTTCCTCCCGTTTTTCAGATACATCTCGTAGAGATCTTCAACATCGCCGTAATGATTGTAGGTGCGTACTGCGTTCAACCGTATGAACCGAATATATCAATCACACTTTGTCAGTCTATCGTTTTCGTTCATGATCAGAGCTATCGGTAAGTCTTCGTTTGGAGCCTGTACTATACGCCTAGAATAGACTGCAGCATACATACATAATTAGTTCACTCTTATGGCATACCTGACCATTTCATGTTTGGTATCCTGTGAATTCGATGATTTACAGATTCCCGCAAACGTGGCTTGGTCTGGTGTCGAGTGTCGGATCTCCGTGACTGGATGCATTGCGAAGGCGATGTTGATCTCCCGCCGGTAAACCTCCTTCGTGTTCGCGCTGGCCTTGCCACTGCTGCCTGTCGCCAAGATGCCAAGGGACACCACGACAGCCGGGTTGGGACCAATCGACACTCTGCCGTCGGCAAGACTTCCAACAGCCTCGCCCAGCATGGAAGCATTGAAAATTGCTCTGTGTTCAAGTAAGTCGGTCGCGCAAATCTTCATTTGAAATGCTAAAATAAACGGTATTTAGTATCAGGACCATAGTTTGCTATACCATATATCTGCTTCGTCACGTTGTTTGTCAGGGCAGAATAACGTGTCTTTTCTTCGTCCATAGAGTGAGCAAGGACGGTTGTGTGTTGGTTGTGAGCACGACAGAAGCGCTAGTTGTACTTCGTTACCAAACTGAGACCCTTCAATATGACGTGGAACGTCGTTTAGAGACCGAGAATCTCTGTTCATCGATTCAAATTACGCCGTCAAATGTGCTATTCAGCAGTGATAAAATTTACGCTTTAAATCTACGCAACCATCAGGTATATAGAAAGTAAACGTGGCTTCTATATATGGCGTGTTATCAACATATGCAACATCAATATGTAATGCCATTTTCTAAGCTAAATTTTGACAATAAAATTGAGACACTCGGTATTATAGTTTCGTTTAGTATCTTCTCGTGTAGCTTCAGCTCAAATTGACGTTATACCATATAATTGACGTCTATACATTTTGCTAAGTTACCACGTGCCCGTTACGCCGGCACTCGTAAGTGCAGCTCCTTTACTGTGCTGGCTGAAATACACGTAATTATTTGTTTTGATGCTGTATACAGGTCCGTGAATTTCTTGACGTCACCGATGAGTCTCTGGCATTGTTCGCAAACTTTAAGGGACCCTATTATATTCTTGAAGTTGAGCCTCACACCGAATACGTTATCGCATGCAAAGGTCAGCGCTGTTCATCGATTATTACTATAAGTACCAAAACAACAATAGCCTAGGCAGAGCAAAACATTTACACCACCCAAAAAGAGTGAGCTCAGAAAGCAAAATTGCATGTACACATTCTATACCAGTAAAAAATATTTTGAAAAGCTGACAAAATAATCACTACCAGTGAATTATATATTTCAGAAATGGGCTTCTTCGTCAACGCAGCAGGCAGGCGCAGTCGCCCTGGGGATATCAGCATCAACGGTTCGATTCTTAGTCTCGAGATATGCCAACGCTCGCTCTTCCTTTGTGACGATGACCATATACAGGTAGGTCATATAACTGGCTGTTAGTAGACGATAGCCCGAGTCCCTATAATCTAAATCTTCGTACCTTGCTTAACCTTAAATGGACCAACTGCGCCGAGAAGGCAAAAGTTAGCACGTTAGCAAAAGCTGAGACGTAGTTTCTGGCAGATATTCGAACCATTCACTTCGTGACTACGAGGGACGTGAGGGAATGGGCCAGGGACGCAATAGCTGTTGGAAGAGTATTAGGCGCCCGTAAGTGATAGAAGGCATTTGGTTTTGCACCGTTCTCATATGACTCACCTTTTCCTCAGGTCTGTATGGTGACGCCTGCCGGTCAACATAACGACCTTCGTCTAGTAGAAACTCTACATGCACGAGGTATCCGTTTGTTGGGACGTGCTCGCGCCGGCGACGCCATCTACGTATCATGGACATGGAAGAACATTCGATGTATCTCAAAGATATTTGCATTCCCTGTTGACAACAGCTCGTCGTCTAGGTAAGTGGGTTATTTTTATTCTTTTTTCTATACTATTTGTCACTAACTGCTGTGGTCATCAAACGCCTGCCGTCCGACGGAACCCTAATTACTGGATAACAACGAAGCTGCCGAGATAATGGCGACAATAATCAAGATTGTCGTTAAATAATTAATCCGTTTTATTAGTCAAGGTGCGACGCGTTGAATTTAAATTAAAGTGCTTGAATTAGTTACTGATTGAAGACCTCGTGCGCTTCTCTGTCGATTTGCAGCGATTTATCTGCGGGCGCCAGTGCTGAGTTTTCATTTACCTCTTCTCTAGAAGAAAATCTCGAACGATACGACTGCGACAACTTGCAGGACAACCTTTGATCATATCGAATCACACCCGTCGGCCAGCGGAGGGCGAACTGGCACCGTTCAGTGTTCTACATGCTCCGAACGCGTTTCTGGGACGCTGCCTAGTTCGACGGCCTGGCGATGATCGAGTCGATCTTCGGCATACGTAGGGAACCTAATCTAGTTTTTGCTATAGTAGATTGTATTTATTAAGTACCATTTCCATTGAGATGATGCCAAACTTGCTACTTGAAGTTTGTTCCTATTTTTTTAGACCAACTGATCACAATTATACCGCGCAGGGCATATTTTGGTGAACTTTCTCGATAGAAATGTGAAGCCATCGCCCTTCAATATGTAAAAATTACTAGATGTGCCTTTGCAAACTAAACGTAGCGCCTGGAAAAATAACACGAAAGGAACTGTGAATACTGAAAACACTAGAAAAATGAATATAAATAATGTCTACCATCAGCGCCATGCAGTTCAATCGCTTACGAACGCTTTCCATTACTATTCGGTATCGTGATACGTTTGATAAAAAAAAAGGCAGCGACGGATTGTATACGCTCGTGATCATCTGTAGATAAACGCAAATATTTCTCACCTATTTGGGGGACGAAACGTGTGTGGCCCATTGCGAAGCAGTTTACGGACGGTTAGATAGTTCGGAATATCAGTCGTGAATCAATATTAGGGTGGGCGAAACATAATTACTGCATGTCACAGAATCGACACTTGATTTATGTCATGTTTTCAGTAGATATGGGTCTACGTATACACCATTGATAGGGCATATATCAGCGTCTATTAGACTAAATGATATTAATATCATGAAGATTTTTCCGTTTTGACTTCCGTAAAAAAGATCAAGGCATAAGACGTACACATGTATATACATATACGCCCCACTGACGTAACGTGAAGAGGGGAGGTGACTGGAAATACATAATCGCGAGAAGATGAACTAAAAACCAAAAGACAAGAGTTCTAACATTCATGCATGCAACCGTGACATATGGCATACGTACACTTGTCGCATTATTTCGGCATAATTTATATAGTACAATACATGAGCGGTAGATATGTAACTGGGTTGCTGCACACTGCATTGTAACTTATGGCTCACGGGAGAACACATTCCGTAAAGTTCATTACGGCAGTACGTTAACAGCTAATCCTCAGTGTGATGACCGGATGAAGCTACAATGATACACGCCCGAACCACAAAGCTACGACAGTTCATTTCAGAGGGATTTCCTTGGGAGCAGTCGTGCACAGGGCCTGAAATAATGCTTGCACTTGAATGCCATGCTAACTAGCTTTTATTCGACTGTACCTTGCCTGTTCAACAGATAGTTGTGTTTCATCGTGAGTAGCCCTGTCATTTTTATTCTACTATTATGTAAATACACACGGGGGGTCTCTGTTCCGTACACGATCAAGCGGGTAGATCAGGACACAGGCAACATATATCCATTAGTAAAATGTTCAAGTGTACGGCATGGGTATATTTCAATGGACATAGGTGACTTCGGTTTTTCTGATGTCGAGTAACGAAATTAAACGAGTACAGTTACGTCCTCTCACAGAATACCTAAGAGTAACACATTTCTAATGGAAGCGAGGATCGTCGGGTGTGCAACGTTGCAGTTACGAACATGTAGACAGAACAATGAAAATAAACTGTACGCTGTTAGCTCACTTCTGTGGCAGTAAGTATTAGAAGGCGTCAATGCATCTTTCTCCGTACGTAAACGATAGAAAAATGTCAGCTTCACGTTGAAAGAAATCAACCAAAGTGTAACGGTAGGGAGAAAGGTTGAAAATTCGTCGAACGAAGTAATTGTGTTTATTGATCGAAAACAGAGTCGGGAAACGGAGCCAGCAGGAAGTAACGTTTGATATGAGTGGGAAGCTTAGTTATATCCGTTTCGATAACGATGATGGCTAGATAATCTCCCAGCTTGGCAAACGTGTACGTGAGAGTAGTTCCCGGCAATTGCTATCCGGCCACAAGAAGCTTAATGAGGGGTTAAAGTTCAGTTAATTGTTTACTGTGGAACTGTTTATTGTTGTTGCCCAGCCAATGCAAGCGTATGTAACCGTGAACTTGAATAGCGATGATTACGTTGTTTCGGCATCTTTGAACAATGCACAGGCTATTAGGGTATGGGATACAAGGGGACGTTTTTCGTTTCGTTGGGGCATATGTCACAGGCAGGTCGGACCTTACATCATCAGGCTTGGCACTAGAATTTATTCGAGTATTTCATTTGTAATCAATTAACAGGGGCAAGTTCCTAAGGAAACATGTGAAGCGACGATGCTAATTAGCAAGCTCGAGTCAATTAACAAATCCCAGGGGCGTCACAAACAAGAAAAACAATTTGGAGGTAGTAGAGGATTTTTTATGACGACTTCATGACACTTGAACGGCATATTGTAGAGTGAAATAAACAAAAGCAACGATAAAGTAATACGTTCTGTACAAACCGTTTTTTGGTCTAAATCTCCCAAGTGCGCGCTTAGTCGGTAGTAGACATGGCCAATAGTTGACCCTACGCAGCGAACGAACTCGATGGAAAAGTACGTGTAATGCTATTGTATGTACGTGAAAAGGCTCGTATGGAATCCTACGCAAGAGCTATCCGGGTTAAGTAGACTGGCTGAACTCTGTGGATGATGAGGGAGACGGCCACGGACCCAAAGTAATAGCAATGTCAATTTGAAGAAAACTTAGCCTTATTTCCGTGGATACTATGCAAGGTTTTAACTTTCAAATCGACTCAAGTTTATGTACCTTGATATATAATGCAAGTTACAGAAGATATTCAGGCTTACACAGGATCAGCGTTTCTGTTTTTCGACATTCAAAGCGAGCAGCTGCCAGTGATTATTTTGGGAAAAATGGCACATTACCATTAGTGTATAAATGAAACGGGAAGTGATGACTTTTGCCACCATAGTGGATCTATCGGGCGTAGTGACCCACCTAGCGCCCTATGTACCATCGGAAAACAAAAAAACTGACTACAGTCCCTATACAGTTGACGAAGTCGAGACGATGTTACGAATATGGACAGTTTGGCCAATCAACGGTATACGCACTTTTTGAAGAAATGCCATTTTGGTCAATTAGCATCGAATAGCCGGTTGTATCATATCCTAAAACATTTTAGTTGAATGTATATTTATCAATGGCTGAAGATTGCTTGTAGTCTGACACTTGACTTGAACGAACGCACGTATTGGCGTAACAATGGCGCAGTAAGTAGTCTACTTTAATAGTCGGAAGTTACATTGGAAATTACAGACACGGAAGTGGTAGAATTAAACTTGGAAATATAGTGCATGGCTTTACAGACGACATACGAATTGCCGCAAGAACAACAAAATAACGTATAAACTGCAACGGACAGATCATGCAGGCTGGTAGTAACTATAATATATGCTTAAGCTGAATTAGCGATGTTAGGGATAAATAAATCGAACGATTTTACCCTTCGAGACGAATATGCGAAGATACGAAGTTTCTATTTATAGTGGAGCCTTAGGCTATAGGGGCCGAGATCGATAGGCAATGAGCATAAAACGTAAATGCCACTTGCTCCCATCAGGTTTTGATGCGTGAATGTTTCGTAAAGAACAGCCGTCAACACGCGAAAAGCAAATCGAAAAACAAAAAAAAAAAAGTATTATTCTCCGTTCTGGAAATAGGAATTAGCATACAGTGGCAACGACGACATTTTATTAAAGTACACAACGACTACGCGTCAGAGGGAGTATAGTTATATCTCAAATGGACGATAATCACACACAAAAAAAAAAACAATAGAATTCACGATGATGACAACAAAATATCAGGACGAACATGATAGACGAAAACGAGTATATGAATCTAAATAAACTTCGTACTGAACACTATTTATTAAGCAGGTTTATTCATTTAAACTAAGAATCCCACGAATTAGAAAGGATGCAATGATTGTTTTTTCTATGGTTTTTGTTAAGCAGTAGGTGGAGCTAAAATACTGTATCCTTGAGCTGTGAGCTGAGTGATGTTTTAGCCAACTAATGTCAAAGACATTGAAAGTATTGAGGGCTAAAACAATCCTACTTCTAGATCTAATATTGATAGGAATTTTACCGATTAGCGATTATTCTCAATGTTTAGCTGAGGACTCCAATAAACAAAAAAGAATTCGTCGTTTGACGAATTCTTGCTTCTTAAGGTACACTTTTTAAATATGGGTAAAATTGGTATGAAAATTGCTCCTGACTAATGGTAAAACATCGCACTGTCTTCAAATACTTAAAATCTAAAAGCTGTGCATCGTTGCTTTAACTCACAATATAAAACTCGCTATTTTTCTCTTCGTTTCATTAATACATGTTCGAACAGTACACCGAACTTTAGAATAACAAAGAAGAAACTCTCCAGATAATTAACTCAAAATGAACGATATTTAATTAAAAACTTGCAGGATTTGTTATACCCCTACCAATACCATTTTTTCTACATATAAGCACGTAGTAAAGAGGAACCTTAAATACCTAGAGATCTCAGAGAGGAATGCAGTTATTATTCAGTAGTTCTAATCTATCCGCATGTGTTAAAATATATGAATTAAGAGGTTCACTACAAATTCTGGGACTCCAAAAGAGCTGGACTGTTTCCATTCTCAGTCATTCCCTCATGGTTTGACTCGCACTTCGAGTTCATTCAATATAACTTACCAGCGGCTAGTAACGAGAAAAATATTCCCCTCACGAAAAAAAATAGATAGGTTGTAAGTTTCACGTATTTGAATTAGGTCAGACAGCAAAACGTCAGGGCCGCTCCGCGGCAATCAGGCCTGCCAAGTGGGCTCCTAAGCATTGTTCGTAAAAGTTAGATTTGCTTCTATGACAGCTACAGGCTTCATTACATGGCAACAACAAAGTGGAAATTGCGTTCACAATTTTCGGTTCTGTCTATAGACATTAGTTTTTCTTCTACATACGATCCTGCCTGTTTTGAAGATATTCCACTATTATTAGTGGTACACGCGGCGAATTCTTGCAGTGCGATGCTCTATCTAGAAATGCGAAGTTTTCATTTTAGGCGCATGCCATATTAAAAAAATCTTTAGCGACAAATTACTCTCTCAATAGGGACCCCGACCACAATCAGGCATATAGTATCGATGGACAAACTAACCTTCACTAAAGTCAAGACCGACAAACGAAATCAAGTTCAAGCAAATCTCATCGATACGCCAAGCATCACAACGAAGGTTAAAGACTGCTAACTTTTTCCAGAATCACCTAATAATGTAAACATTGTTGAGTTTTCCAATAGGATTACTCATCTTATTGAGTAGTGATTAGAGGTGAACGACAAAAAATTACTTCTTAGCCAGAAGTGCTTTAGAACACCAGCGACATCAGGTCCTTTAAAAGCGTCCTTTAGAAAGGACCTTTCATAGATGCAGTTTCTTTACCAGAAAGATTTTAAGATGTGCTTGGATTACTGTTGGGCCGTAACCATTAAGGTAATCCGTAATGTACTTCTGTAGAAAACGAAGTCCTTACAAGATCTGAAATAAAAAATCATTTTTTTTATTGTATCTATACGATAAAACTATGTATAATACGAAAAAAAGGCCGTCGGCGGAGATTGAACCAGTGAACCCTGGCTTATTCACCTCGTAGGTGCACCCCGTGAGTCGTCTTCGAAGACAGAACCATGTTCATGTTTTGTAGTGATTCAAATGTGGATCATAACAGACATGTATATCTAGCCGAGTTCTCCTTTGAAATCTTGAGGCGTCTCTACAGCAAGACCACCAATAGGCGAGATGTGTATCGATTTCGCACCATAAACGTTCTCATTTGTTCGTCGCAGATATTTACCGTGAGCGTACTTGTCTGCGCCATCATCGTCCTTGTCGGGCTCCTCGCTCTTTCGGCCGTCCTCGCCTACTTCAGTATAACTAAAGTACGTTGATTATTATAATAAGAACGACACGTTGCCATTTTTGAATTAGCAATTAGGGATTCGGAGAGACATTTTAACAGAAACTACAATGGTTCTTTGGTTCATAATCGGATTTAAACAAAATTTACTTTAAAAATGTTGAAAAGTGAATGAAGCCTTTTTCTTTTGCAAGCATTAGTTCCTTATGGATTAGAGCATTCTAAATATCAGTGCGCCGTTTTCGAATCATAATACAGGTTCAGTTAAAGGGGTAGACGTAGCTCCACAATAGGTAAGCCTTGTACGGAAATCACTTATGGTTTGCACGTAGGTAAACTTCTATGCTAAAAATACAGTGATGAAAGTGCAAATAGGTGAGCCATCTGCTTGTTAAGCTTGTCGTTTAGTGAAAGAAATTATTTAACTTGGGATAGAGATTCCATTTCGTGCTTCCAAAATGTGGCATGGACCTTCAACGGTGGTCGAGAAGCTGCAGTATCTTGGCTTAGATAAACTGTGTTGGAAGAGTTTTTTAGATGAATTCGGTAGAAATCTGATTACGGATCGAAGCATAACTAACACATTTAACAAAAGGTTTACATAAATGTCATACCTTAAATATGCGCGATTCCTATGAAAAAACTATAGTCTCAATGGCAACTACATACTTAGGCTACACGGAGTCTTCAGGCATAAGATACTTACAAAACGTTCATAACTTCAGATATGTAGATGAAATTTATCGGTAAGATATAGCCATCTCTTGTGGCAGATAAACCATAAGGATGATTTCGAATAGGCATCGATTTTGGCTTGAAATAAAAATCCATGCGTATGGGTATGTTTTCAGTCATGTGTTTAGCTTTCAGCCCGACTTGCCTTATACACTTCACCTTTTAATGGCGGTTCGTGTTGCTCTGAGCCTATTTTCAGTTGAAAAATTGGAGGATATTAACGGTCGATCCTAGTGAAATATAGTACGATTCCGAAAATACGCCGCTATTAGTGACTCAGACGATCATGAGGAGCTGAAAGCTGTAAGTATTTCTAGCACAATACTAATGTCGCATCAGTGTAAAAACTGCTAATATACATGGATTTCAAGATTCTTTCCTAAATTATCTTCATTCAATTCGTGAGTTTCGGCGGGAAAATATATATCACTAGCATTTTTAGTAACCATATGGCTCTGTACTAGGTCGTTAGGACTACTTCTAGGTATACTAGCCTTTTCCAACAAACACTAGTTTCTATAATTATGCGACATTTTGTGCCACTTTTTCCATTTGAACGTACCCACGTTTTTTGCAATGTGGAACATGGAAAACAGTATGTTTTAGGCCTTTGGCAAGTCAGCTGTAGTGGGCCAAGAAAGATCAGAAAATTCAAGTGGTTTACGAATGTGGAATTCATCTTGGAACTACAACGGCAAAGGAAGCTCGTTACATAAACCTCATAATCGGTGAGGGTCTCATTACTAGAGATACCATGAGCCGTTGGCTTCGGAAAGGACAATTCCCATTCGAGTTCGAAAGATTGTCTTATGGAAAAATTCGTGTGGAGTAGTTGCCGGAAATGTGTATTACAAAGTGTCGAGAACTGCGACGAAAGCCGACTTATCTCAGAGTATATGGACATTGACATTTAAATTTGATGTATGTAAAGACACTGTATTTGATGAACTTGGCCAAATTAATATTGAACTGAACGAGGATGAAAAACAGATGTAGAGATGCTAGCTTCATTTTACTCTCACATTACACGTTAGGTCTCGGTTACCACCAACGATGAAATCTTTTCAAAGCCTCGATATGTTTTCAATAGACAGACTGTCAATCTCTGTCAAGTGTCTTTTGAGGCACCTTAGATTCTCTTCGAGACTTTTACAGCAGCGTTTGGCTTTGATTAGCCTGTCGAGAAAATTCGAAAAGTTGTTTACACTTCAATATAGTAACAAGATGAAAATTTTCAGAAACGAAGTAGCTCAGCATTTTTCACATTGAGACTTGTCCTAAGCAGCTGGGGCCTTTAAAACTTCTGTGGTCCTTAGAAATCATTATTAGGACGAATTTACTTAGAAAATATAAGGGGGCATGTGTATTTTAAGAAGCAGCTATATAAGCCTCTTTTTCTAAACTAAAAAGGTAGGTTTTTGAGCTGACCTTTATTCTACATAAGTACCTAAGTTTTCTACCTAGAGCGCCAGGTATACATAACTACAACAATAGAGCAGGTCTCTAATTTTGTCGAAGTCCGAAAGCCTGTTCTGAAAACTGATTTCCACAGAGATTATTTGTAACTACTGGATCGCCAGGGAGTTACAATGGCTTTCTTGACAAAGTTTGACTGTTTTTACAAAACGTGCATGCATTTCTCGCCTGTATCTTGATTATAACTAATCAAGTGCTACCAGTGTAGATGCAAATCAACTATCTCTTCTTTTATATAGCCTGTCTTCTATTAAATTTACAATACATCGACTTTCGAGACTGAACAAAAATTTCGTACGATGACAAGGCGATCAATGACGGTTTCGGGCAACCATTATGTAGCTGGGCGTGTGCCTGTTCGTTACGCACAACACGTTGTGCGTATTTTGAAATAGTTTCCGTGTGCTTTTCTTCTTAGCAAACTGCTAGCTACTACCTGCTTAATTTACGGTTGGAAACGAGGAGCCACCTACTTTTTCGCTATTTCCCTCTTGAAAACTATTGCGTTGCTTACTATAAACCTACTTTTACCATTTTTCCGTGTTGTGGCAGTTTAGAATTTCCGGGCTTGTTGTTAAGCTGGATGTAGCGCGAACGCCTAATAATAGTAATAATAATAATATCCAACTTCCTCTTTCCTACGCCGTTATAAATGGGCAA